AAGTAAATGTGACTCAAATGCAAGAAGAAAGGAGACCCCAGTGCCACCAAAAAAAGAAAGAAAAGAGAGGAAGAGGAGGGAAATCAAGGAACATAGCTATTCCTGCCACCAGCCCAGCCAAAATCAGAACTGAAAGTGTAGAGGGGGAGCTGACACGATCAAGAGGGATGGTCCATACCCGGTAGCTAGGGAATTTAACTCTCCCTTGCTTCTTAGCTTTCCCTATTGGAGAGAGACGGAATCACGTGACTCAAATAAATATGGCACTTAATTGCATCGTCCCTCCAATAAACCAATGGCAGTGGCGCTCTCATTCGTCAATACCGCCCCCACCACCACTATTCTCAGTGGGATCTGTCACCTGACTCGGCCAACATGGCTTCTCTGGAAGCTAACTTGCTTTGGGAGTCGGGAGCAGGTGAAGTGTAAGACGCCGGGGCGAAGGCTGGTGCGCTTTCCATTACCCACGTAGGGAGTGAGTCTTGCGCCCTTCCTCTTCCGCCCCTCCGCAGCCCTCCAGTTCAGACTCAGCTTTAGCTCCTGATCCTCGGTCCTCTTCCTTAAGCAAAGGCTCAAAACGAGGAGATTCCTGCTGAATCTCTCATTCTTGCCAAGGCAAGGAAGGAGAGTTAAGGGTCTACACTCCGGGCTAACACGGCTATTAGTGTTATTAAATCTAAGATCTGCGTAGAGACATGGGATCCACCCTTTGAAGAAAGTGGCAGTTCTCAAAAAAAAGATAGTAACAGGTGAAATAAAAATAATAATTAGGAAAGTAAGTTTGTCCTTTCCCAGTTGGCCCGAAAGTCGCTGGTCTATCTAGAGTTCCGTTTCTTCTCTCGTGTTTTGTTTCTAGGAGATACTACACAATGAGAAAACTGAAAATGTGTTCCGCATAACGCATCTCTTACTATCCGCCTGCACTCTGTGCTGGGAAAATGAATTATCCATTTGGAAAAGAGGAAACTGACACGGAGAAGCAGCTTTTTGGATTTTTCTGTGAGTGCCTCCGGAAGGGAGAATGGGAGCTGGCACAGGCTTGTGTTCATCAGCTACACGAGGGACAAGGGGATATTCCAAAGAAGGTGGAAGACATACTTCAGGCGTTGGTGCTATGTCCAGATCTGCTGAGGTAAAAATCCTTCTTGCCAGGGGGTCCTAGGGCAGAAGACACGTGGTCAGTGTCTCGGGCTCTGGTCAGTGTGCTCCACTCCACTTTTTGATTATCATCTAGAACTGAATTTAAACGTAGCCACCACGGTGTGCCCAAAACCACCATTTCTTGTTTATTATCATTGAAAAGTATTTTCTTTGCTCTCCCTGCTGATGAATGAAGGTAAACACAGGTTAGTTTTAACAAAGGACTGGAAGTAAATTCACTTAAAATTTTTTACTTCAAAATAATTAGACTCACAAGAAGTTGCAAAAATAATGCAAAGTTCAGTATACCCTTTTCCCAGATTCCCCTGATTGTGACATCTGTAGTAAAAATATCAAAACTAGGAAGTTGACACTTGTACATTACTATTAATTACACTCAAATCTTATTTGATTTTCATCCTTTTTTAAAATCTGCATTTATTTCTTATTTGTAGTTCAATGCAGCCTTAGTCCATAATAGACTCATGTAAACCCACAGTAATGAACATACAGAACTGTCCATCATTACAAAAGAATTCCCTCATTCCTTGGTGCTACTATGGAGTAGCACCAATGTTTGCACTATGAGTCTTCCTCCTCTGCTGATAACCACATTTCTCTATTCTAGATGGTTTTTTTTTGTGGGGGGAGGTACTGGGGTTTGAACTCAGGGCCTCATACTTGCTAGATAGGTGCTCCATCACTTGAACCACTTCACTAGCCCATATCCTAGACTTTTAATGACATTCTTTATGACAATGTCAAATGAGCTGATTTAGTCTTTTCCTGGCTTATCTTTAACTGTTATGTTACACTGTTTAAATATTGTCTTAGCATATAAGGAGCAGAGAAGCAAGTGATTGCTTCCTTCATTTTTTTTCCCTTAAATTTGCATCCTAACCAGTTACTATTTAATTACTAACTTCAAAGAAAAGCTTATGAATTTCTATAACTCTAAACTCTACTGCATATAGTTAAAAATAATTTTTATGTGCTTCCTTATTTCTTTTACATTTGATTCATTTTCTGTGTTCAAAAATATACATTAGATAGCATTAGCGATTATTTTTTCTGTAATATTATGCTTATGCTTAAAAATAGGCTGGGCATGGTGACCCACACCTAAAATTCCAGCTAGGTGGGGGGTGGAGGCAGGATTGCAGTCCAACCCAGTCTGGCCAAAAAGCTTGAGACCCAATCTGAAAAATAAGCTAAAACAAATAGTGCTGGAGGCTTGGTTCAGGTGGGAGTGCTTAGCAAGTGCAAAGTTCTGAATTCAAAAAAACTAAGCTGTCATATCTGTAGTCCCAGCTACTCAGGAGTCTGAGGCAGGAGACTTGCCTAAGCCCTGTAGTTGGAAACCAACCTGAGTAACATGATGCCACTGGTGTTGGAACTCAGGGACTTGTGCTACCACTTGAGCTACTCCTTCCAGACCAAGAATTTCTTTAGTGAAAGCTACCAGCTCTGTTCTGGTTCTAATGCTTTCTTGGACTGTCATATGCAATTGAAAAATTCTTATTAAGAGTCACCTCTTCAGATTTTTTAGTTTAGTTTTGTTTTGTTTTTGGCAGTGGTGGGGGTTAACTCACAGCATCGTGATTGCTAGACAGATACTCTACACTTGAGCCACGCCCCTAGCCCTTTTTGCTTTAGGTATTTTTCACATAGGGTCTCACTTTATGCCCAGGCTGGCGCCAGCCTGGACCACAATCTTCCTTATTTATACCTCCCACATAGCTGGGATGACAGGTATGCACCTCCACACCCAACTTTTATTGGTTAAGATGGGAGTCTCCTTCACTTTTTGCCTGGGCTGGCCTCTAACCTTGACTCTTCTGATCTCCACCTCCTGAGTAGTTAGGATAACAAGCTTGTATTGCAACACCTGGCTGCCTGTTGCAGTTCAAGATGAACTGAGCAATGACATCTAAATCTTGGATCACAAAAAACAAAAGGTCAGTGGAAACTCCTTTTTACAAAATCTTTTCACCTTTTTCAGATGTGGACACGACATCAGCCCTCAAAGATTAGCCTGGATCTGGCTTCTTGTGCTCGAAAATGGTTAGCCCAGGAAAAGGTAAACACTTAAAAATGTTTATACTTAAATTTTCTCCCGAGACCAGGAAGTTCTGAGAAGAACTTAGAAGTAGTAATGAGGTATCTGTTACTTCCTTTATTGTGAAGTTGGTTATAATCGTTCTCAATATCAACAATGAAAGTGACTTAAATGTTATGGCTATCTCCTTGCCTACATTTATTCACTAATTCACTAACATTTATTGGCATAATGTCATTTTGATATTTGATGCCATTTTGTTAAATTACTGCTATGTGTCTTATGCCTGAAGAGCACTTTGTAGGACTCAGTGAAAGTAACAAGATAGTAAATTGTAAATAAAATGTGAATCCATAACTTTTGGATCTGTTTAACACTCATGTAATAGAAAATGGGATGAATTAAAACTTGGCTTTTCTTCTAAAAATCTTATTTTCACTAATCCAATACAATGAAATCTTATAGATTTAAATCCCACTATTTAGTAATTTAATAATTCACATGAGCTGAATTAAAAATTACCAAATTTAAAAACATGGTGAGCAAGAGAAAGAAAACTAATAAAGTGCTTTTTTCTGTTTTTAAGGAAAATCTTCCACTGGAAGCTCTTTTAGAAGAACTTATTATCAGAGATTGAAGTTCACTAAAAGAATTTCTCTGAGACAGTTTCATATTGAACCTCAGACTTTTAAGTGAAGAGCTGGGCACTGTGACACACACCTGAAAGCCCAGCTACTCAAAGCTGAAGTGGGAGGATCACTAGAGTCAAGGGTTCAAGGCCAGTCTGGGCAATATAGTGAGACCCTGTCTCAAAAAAAAAAAAAAAAGAAAAGAATTTAAGTGAGGAACCTCTGACTCAAGAGAAATGACTATGAAAAGATACACCATAAGCTTGGCAAAACTGGAGTTAAAAATCAAGCTTTGATTCGCAGTCTTTTGCTTTTTCTAACTAACATTTTTTTAACCTACACAGACTTAAAAGTAAAAAATTGTTTGTTTGTTTGATGCAGGGTCTTGCTGTGTAGCACAGCCTGGCCTTAAATTCCTGCTACTCCTTCCTCAGCCTCCCCAGTATAAGGATTACAGGCACACGCCACTATGTTCAGCGAATTTTTAAAATAGCTATCATTTAGCCTTATTTTTCTCGTTTTTACTGCTCCAAATCATCCGTATTAATTTTGTCTTTAGTTCTATTTTTGCTTGAAGAGTAACAAATTCCTGATCTAAATATATCTATTATCCAGTGTTTAGCCAGTTGTCTAGCATAAAAGAGAAAGACAGGAAAGGTAAGTAAGAGAAGCAAGATTGAAAAATAATGAAACCCAGGATAATTAAAAGATTTAAAAGGCCAAGCGCTAGTGGCTCACTCCTGTAATCCTAGCTACTCAGGAGGCAGAGATCAAGAGAATCACAGTTTGAAGCCAGCCCCAACAAATAGTTCTCAAGACCCTATCTTAAAAAACCCTTCAAAAAAATAGGGCTGGTGGAGTGGCTCATAGTGAAGGCCCTGAGTTCAAGCCCAGTACCACAAAAAAGATAAATAAAATAAAAAAGATTTAAAAGAAAACAACTTGAACTAAAGTAGAAATACTATACCTCAAATAATCTTCAAAGAAGAAAAGAAACCATGTTACTGATTAAGGATCTCTCTGTGACAAACATGGAATTTGTCAAACTACATGAACTTTCCCCTCAGGAAAGGCTATTTGCTTAGTTGATGCCTGACCAGTTGCTTATTTTCTGGACAGTTGCTCAACCACATCAGGTGATTGATTTCACTTCCCTGCCTCTTTAGCAAAGATCAAGAGTTGTTCTTGTTTTTTCCAAAATCACAATAATTTCATCTTTAAAGCTCCAGTGACTCACTATTTAAACAGTTGTAGGAATATTTTTATTGTTCTGAGAAGACAATAAAAAACATCAAATGCATTCTTGGAGTAATTCTATAAGGCCAGTTGTGATCCTGGGAGTGACTTAATCTTCTAGAAATTTGCTAGCTAACTTTTTTTTTTTTTTGGCAGCACTGCGGTTTGAACTCAGGGCCTCACACTTGCCAGGTAGGCTCTCTACCACTTGACCCTCTCCACCAGCCCAAAAGCTTCCTTTTTAATTATTAGGTGAAATAGTGGTTTTGTTTTTCCTTTCCTTTACTCACTTTTGCCTTTTGCAGTGATTTTTCTCTACATGGGTAAGCATGTGTACAAAGATTTAGGGACAGAGACGTTCACTGCTGTGCTGCTTCTAATAGAAGAAAACTGGAAATAATGCCTATGTCTACAGCACAATAAATGGTTAATAAATGGAAGTACATCCAATATGTAAAACACTATTCAAAATTCTGTGGTGGCTGAATTTTCAGTGTCATGGAAGGATGTTCATGTTTTGCCAAGTTAAAGGAAAAAAAGAACAATTTAGAAAAAAGTATACTTGGTACACATACATAGATGCATGCATAGAAAATGACCTCTGTGCTCTCAGACCACAATATTTTAGTAGTTCTCCTTCATTGGGAAGATTTGATATTTTATAAATATTCATATGTATGTATCTTTTGCTTTGCATATTTGTATGTTCTACTTTTTCTACATTGAATATGCCTTGCTTTTATAGTCAGGAAGTCTGCATAGAAATATTGCATGAATTCTTGGCTGCTTCAGGAATGTTAGTCCTTTGTGATCCTGAAAATGTTTAAAGTAATTTCACCAGTACAATAATATAAGCTAATCAGTCTGTAGGATTCTAGATAAAATCCTAAAATCTTAATCAGCTTATTAAAGACCTGCCATCTTAGACATCTTATCTATGCTTTTCTCTTACTCCTCAATAGAAACACTATAACCTTCAGCTTCTCAGCCTGAATTTTCTCCACCAACTTCTAATCATAGGCATTATACAAGCATTCCCATGGCATTGGTGCACATAATAGGGAAGGATATGGTAAGAAGTAATAAGAGGGGGGAGAAATGACCCAAACATTGTATGCACATATAAATAAAAGAAAAAAAAGAAGTAATAAGATAATAAGATTTGGGGCCAAGAACATATTACATCATATTAACCCCTGATGTGCTAAATGGCATATGAATAGAGGAAGAGTCTGACCACCCCCTCATACACACGCACATGTACACACTGCTGCAGGTGTTTCTTGCCGTCTGATAAAATTTGTCCTTAGGAAGCTTTAACCAAAGGTCAACTTACAATTATCTATAATTTACTTTTTTTTGGGATTAGTCGTAGATTCTAATTTTATTTTTATGTGTTTCGGGAGATAAGAAGACTCTAACTTGAGTTTTAAAGAGCAGTTCAAGAGAAGTTATCATGAAACAAACAGTTGTAGAGCCACAGACTTTCTATTTATACATTAGACCTTTCTGATGGCGTATGTCATTAACAAACATTGGGTTCAGTGGGCACAGTGGTACACACCTGTAGTCCTAACTACTTGGGAGGCTGAGACAGGTAGATCATTTGATCACAGGAGTTTGAGACCAGGCTAAGCAACATAGTAAGACCTCATCTCAAACACACAAAAACAAAACAGTTACCTTTGGTATAGTGCTTATGTAGCCCTGGGTTTGATCCCAGGCACTGCAGCATACACATTCAACGCACACATAGGTTTCACTTTTTCATGTTTGGAATAATTTAAAAGTACTTCCTAACCATTTCACCTATTGTAAAAATTATTTTTTAAGATACAAAGGTATGTGCCATAGGTTTGTTTGATATGGAAATTAAATGAAATAAAAATAAAACTTGGCACACTGTACCTGGCATATAATTACTTAGTAAACGTTAGATCCCTATCCCTTTACTTTTCTTCTCCAACTGATAAGCAAAGGATAGTAAATACCAAAAGACCAAAAGAGGATTATGTGAGCCATAACCTCCTAGGATTACCCATAACTTGATGTTTTGAACACAGCAAGGGAGATTCTTGGAGGGAAAGCTCAAGTGATTAAAAATAAAAACAAAAGCAGATCATATGAAATAAACAAACCTTGGAAGATGAGGCTGATCAGTGTGGGCTTTACATATTAGTTTTTAAGAGGGATGTATGTCTGAGTTTTGCTGGGTTTGTTTGTAAAGAAAAGTATTTGAAAACTCCAGTAGTTTAGTATTTAAAAGTACTTTATCTCAGAGAAATAGCAGAAATATGACTAACTACTGAGATGTATTTAATTATAATTTATTAATGAAAACATCTGTCTGTTTCATTATTATAATTCTTCTAGAAGTTACTCCCTGTTGTTTTACGGAGAAAGCTTGAATTTCTTTTTTTGTCCGAAGACCTTCAAGGTGACATTCCAGAGGACATCCTCAAGGTAAGAGAGAACCCTGGGGCCATCTGTGCAGTCACTCAACAAGCTCAGCTTTCAAGCATACAGCAGAGGCAGGTCTCCAAGGTGTGTCCCCAATGAAGACAAGAAAGAGGCCCTGCTAAAGGGAGCTCAGACTTGGGGTAAACTTGTCTCGTGTTAAAATTCTTGAGATAGTTTGTGCAGAAGTATTAAGTATAACTAGGGGTTAGGTTTTTTTCATTTCACATAGAGAAAAATATATAACTTGGATTTTAAACTAAAATGTTTGAATTTTTGATAGTAGATTAGGGAATATGAAGAGAGAAAGGAACTTATTTGGTGAATATCTTTTCTCTAACAGGTGCACTAAATGTGTGAGTTAATCTTCACAAAACTTTCTGGGGCAGACTCAAACTAAGTATTATCTATATCAGTATAGCTTGTAGATACTACTTAAGTCCCTGAAGTATGCCCTGAGGTGATGTAATACTTATTTTCTTTCTTCCCTTCCTCTTTTTTTTTTTGGTACTAGGGATTGACTCCAGGATCTTGTACATGCTAGGCAGGTACTCTTATCATTAAGTGACACCCCTGCCCAATATTTATTTTTTTCATAACCCTGCCACCAGTGACATAACTGTAGTAGGTTTTAAGGTGGACTTTCACTTTTATTAGGTAAAGAACTCATGTTCTGTCAATTAATGAAGAGGCGTCCCTGAACACCATGTAGAGGTGTGGGGCTAAATGTGGAAAATAATCTACTTCTTCACCCTTCTTTTCTCCCTCTGTGTCACTCTGCAAACAGATATGCCATAAGGTTCTTTCTTTTAAAGGGTAGCAGTCTAGTTGGGGAGGAAGAACTAATACACAAGAGACAGTTTTGTAGTAAACTACATGGTACTCATTTTAATGACATTTAAGTTGTATGGATTGGAAGCATGAAGGAAGTGACTTAGTCTGATTTCTGTTGCTATAACTGAATGCTGCAGACTGAATAGTTTACAAAGTTTAGAAGTTTGTTGAGTTTATGGTTTGGAGGGTGGGAAGAAGAGCATTGCACTGGCTCTGCTCAACATCTGATAGGAGCCTTCTTGCTGCATTGTGACATGGTGGAGGGTATCACATGGGGAGATACAACAGGTGTGCTAGCTCAAATGTCTGTTCCTCTTCTTTCAAAGATGCTAATGTCATCATGGGGCCCTAAATTTACAACCCCATCTAATCCTAATTATCTCCCAAAGGCCTTGTATGCAAATATCATTAACTTGTGAATTTTAATTTGCAACACATAAATTTTGTTTTGTTTTTTTGAGACAGAGTATCTCCATGTAGCCCAGGCTGGTCTCAAAGTTTGTATTCTTCTGCCTCAGCCTCTCAAGTTCTGGAATTATAGGCATGTGCCACCACATCTGGCTACTATCACATGAACTTTTGAGGGACACATCCAAATCATAGCAGGAAAGGTTTGTGAAAGGATTAAGAAGTGGATTTTACCTTAAAGAATTGCTAGAATTCAGATCAGAAATCAAAAACTGATTTGTAATGTTCTTTTAAAAAACACATTTAGATACCTTAAATTTATGATGTCTTACCTGCCTTTATGTATTTTCAATCCCCCGTTTCAGTCACTGTATACATTTTGGAGGCAATAGAGCAAGACTAGCTTGAGCATGCAGGCCCTTGAGTGATTGAGCTAAATCTTAGCCTTAATCTCCTCATTTGTAAAATAGGGATAATAATCATATCTTCCTCAAGGTTATTATAAGATTAATCTGATTCTTCTATATAAAGGGCCCAGAACAGTGTTTGGCGCATAGTAATTCCTACAGAAGTGTTTGCTACTGCTACTAAGCCATAAGTAGTAACTTTCTGGAAACAGCCACCCCAATTCATACTATTTATTCTCTGTTTAGGAGCTGTATGAGACCTTAGCACAAAGCCCACTAGATTGTGCACCTGATGGAAGTCAGGGGCAGGAGAGCTGGACCCTTTGGCTCAGCTCTGAAGCTGTCTCTGTACTCTGGGATCTTCTGAGCAAAGCTCCCCAGCAAGCACAGGCCCTGTTGGAACTCCTGCTTGGGAAGACGATGGCACCAGCCTCTGTCACAGGCCTCTGCAGAAGACGCTGGTGGACCTCATTCGAAAGGCTCTACGAGCTCTGCAGGGCCCTGCTTCTGGGCCTCCTGGAATAGCTGATGCCATCTATGGAGCCCTTCGGACTCTGCGTTGCCATTCAGAGCCACCTGGGGTTGAGTTGCGTGTCCTGTGTGAGGAACTACTGGAGGCCTGCAGAATTGAGGGAAGTGCCCTGCAGGAGGAGCGGCTGCTCAGCTGCCTGTTGCGCAAGGCTGGACATGGCTTGCTATCCCTGTATGGCCACACCTATGCAGAGAAGGTCACAGAAAAGCCACAAAAGGCTGCAACTTCAGGAAAAGGTTTGTCCCCTTTGCTGTTTTTCCTTGTGCTTTGGTAATTCCAATATATTCAGCTGTTGTAACATCAGCTCTTGACTGATACCTTGCTTATTGTTAAGGACATCTAATTGGAGAAGGTAAGCAAAATGGGTAAGATGTTCTTTTCTAAAAGCACTGCTTTTCTAGTGTAAGACAGAGAAAAAGTAAAGTAATAACAGTAGTAGGAAAAAGCTTCACAGAAACTCCTGAGAGAAAGTGTCTTTAAAATAAAGTGTAGACAAACTGGCTTAAATTTTGTTTTGTTTTTTTTGAGACATGGTCTCCCTTTCTAGCTCAGACTGGCCTTGAACTCATGATCCTCCTGCCTCAGCCTCCCAGAGTGCTGAGATTGCATGCATGCAGCATCATACCTGGCTTGGTTTAAGTTTTTAAAAGAGTCTCCTCTCTCATCAGGGGGTTATTCAAATGGAGTCTGGCTTAGGAAAGAAGAGCTTGTAGTTTTCCAATAACCCTGTCTGATCTGATGCTCAGTCCTTCCAGATCATCCAGATGCTGATCGGGCAATGCTGGCTCTGTTTTCCACTCCTGACCCAGTCCAAGCTTGGAAAATGGCCTTTTTCTACTGCCTGAGCAAGAGCAAGCACTTTCTTGAGCAGATCCTGGTAAGTCAGGCTTAATTATTCTCAATGATAGAGGCACTCAGAAATCTCACTGGGCTTTTCCATTCTTCATCTCTCTCCCACTCATGTATCCAACACAAACAGTCTACTTTGGCAAGTCATTTGGTTCTGTCCATGCCACAGTCCCAGGTGAGGGGAGGTCCCATTCATGATTGGACTTGTAGTCACTCCATGTTGGTCCTTTGACAGGAAATAAGATGTTGGACATGTGTCGCCTTTGTGGAGTTTGTGAGAAAGGAAAGACCAGGGCAGCAATACAAGGCCTATCTGACAGGAATTTAATCACTCTTAACTCTTTCCTTCCAGATTGCAACTGACCTTCATTTAATTCAACAGATATTTATGACTCTCATCCTATGTACCATGTGCTGTGCTAGGAACTAGGGTTACAACAAATGTTAATTCCTGACTTAAGAATCTTAGAGTCTCATGCTTCTATGAACTTAACAGGCTACTTCTGTAACATCAGAACTCTCCTTGCTATACTAAAAAGCTTCTTTCCCTAATGAGCAGTAAGCTGGAACTCATTCTTTGTAGTTCACATAGCTGCCTATCGTTGTGTTCTTTGGCTTACAGATTACAGCGTTAACTCTGTTGAAAGAGGAAGACTTCCCAAGCCTTGGCTGTCTCCTTGATAGAGAATTCAGGCCTCTCAGTCACCTGCTCGTGCTCCTGGGCTGGACACACTGTCAGAGCCTCGAGTCAGCTAAAAGGTTGCTCCAGACACTCCACAGGACCCAGGTAACCCTCACCCTGCCTCCTGGGCTGTTCCAGAAGTGAATGCCTTGGGGCTTTGCACCTAGTCAAAATGCACTGTTCCCAAAGTCAGTCACAATCCCTGGGGCCAGGTTCCTGAATCAATGTTTCTTTCTTCTTCCATACTGACACAGGACCAGGGCTCTGATGAGCTCCTCAGGGATGCCTGTGATGGATTATGGGCTCACCTGGAGGTCCTGGAGTGGTGCATACAACAGAGCAGGTACAACCCTGTACAGTCAGCCCCCTTCCCACCGCTGGGCATGCTCAGCACTGTGCTATGTGGCTATTTCAAGACATCTCCCACATAAATGTTTCAAGTTGACAGTATTGACCAGACATGAATAGTCCTTCCAGCTATTAAGCCAGGAAGGAAACATAAATAATGATTAACTTCTCTGTGACCATCAAGTCATAACTAGAGAAAAATTTCAGGATGACATTAATTTAAAAAAAAAAAAGGACGCTCACTGTTCCTAAGCACTTACTATATGCCAGGCATTGCTCTAAGCCCTGTATATGGATGATTAAGTCTCACAACCGTTCTGTAAGAGAGAGGACAAAACAGTGTTGTCCTCAATTTAAAGGTGGGACACTGGAGCCCAGAGCCATTAACTAACTTGCTCAAAGTTACACAGCAAGTAAATATCATCTGCATTATTATTCATATGTTACTCTGGTTCACATTTTTATTCAACAAATGCTCATTAAACTGAACTATGTGAAGCCTGCATTTCCCTGATAACTTAGCCTAGTTATGAATTCCTGTCACATTCTGCATCCACCTCTCCAGCACTTCCTGAAGCATAGTAGGCAGAGGTGAAGTGGCAAGGGGCTCTTACTCAAGGTAAAGCCAGTGTGAAGGTTGGGAGAGGGTAAAAATTAGCAAATTTAATGTGCAAACCCTTTCTAGACTCCACTACATAGAAAGGCCTTTTGTAGGTCCTTTCTAGATAGACCTGACTTGATGGATGTACTTCCCTGAGGGTAAATAAATGTTTTGCTATCTCTCAGACCTACTAAAAGATAGTTTGAGGAAGTAAAACCTGTGGTATGGGCCAGGAAGAGCAAGAAGGAATAAAGAATGTCTTTCTGCAGAACAATAATGTAAAATATCTCCCCTCTGCATCCTCCCAATTTTCGCTTTCAGCACTCCCATACCAAATAGAGATCTCTTGTGTCATTTACATGGTGGAGACAGCCACTCAGTGCTCTATTCTCTCCATCACCTTACAAACCTTCCAGCCCTCAGGGAGGAAGAGGTTCTCAAGCTCTTACAGAAGGTACCAGCTAAGGAACTGCAGCAAGAGTATGGTAAGTTGGCAATGGGACAGTTTTGGTTCTTAGGACAACCTTGCACCTGTTTCCTCCAAGATAAGGTTTGTCTAGATGTGATTGCTGGGATACCTGTCAAGAGGGTGGTCTAGCAGCCATCCTCAGAATTAGCCTCATTTGCCCCAGTCACATTTTGAGAGGTAGGGACATTTCTCTCCTTTCTTGGTGTGATGTAGGGAGTCTCATGGACATGGTCCCACATCCTTTATCTCATAGAATCATCTCAGGAACCACCAGGATACCCTCATCCCAATGAAATAAAATTAGAGGCTTCCCTTTGCATTCACAGCATTGTCAGTGTTAATGGAAATTCTTGGTGAGTGTCTTCATGCTCCATAAGCTTTCTCACAGTATGTTTTCTGCCTTCCTTCACTCCCATGTCTCCTTCCTACTCTGTTGAACAGATCAAGAGGTTTGGAGGAAAGACTTGATTGAAACAATAACTAAGCCTCATTTTAGCCTTTGATTTTTGCTTAAAATTCAAGACCTTGTGAACAAGCACTTCCTTTTTGCTGTCAAAAAACATATCACAATTCATATCACAAATACATCATATCATGTCATATCATATCATATCATAGTGTAATCACAATTAGCCTCTCAAGCCAGGGATACTTACACTTGAAAGAAACAGTCTTTCTCATCTGGCAATAGATGCTTCTCGAATTGTATGTTGCTTTGATTTGCTTTTCAAACAAACACTGGTAAAATTAGTGTTACCACATTCCACAGTTTTTTCTGGGAAGATAGGTAACTTGCTAAGCAGATTTCCTAAAGGAACTAGAATTCTGGTTCCCACAAGTACAAAAGCCTTCCAAAGAAATTCTTTAAGTAACCACTGGGATACACTTGGAACTTGAACTTCAAAAAGGCATGAGAGGGGCAATAATAGGTCAGGAGCTAGGGTGCAAACTTAAGGAGATGCAAGTCCTGCCCTCTCAGGTGCAAGTCCTAAGCCTTGAAAACAGTGCTGTGTAGAGTTCACAAGACATGTAGAAGGAAGGTTAATGCAAAAAAGGAAGCAAAGGGGCCTGACAGTTGATGTTGACTAGAGGAAAAGCCTGGCAGAGATGCAGATCAGACTCAGAGAAAGAAGAGAGGGTAAGAACTTACAAGTACAGTCTGTCTTTCCTTTAGCCATACTTGCTTCTCACCACTAAAAAATTAATTCTGAAGTTCTGCCTGTGTCTCTCTATAATTCAGATTCAGCTGATGTCCCAGTCTCTGAGCACCTCAGCCAGTGCCAGAACCTGACCCTCTACCAGGGCTTCTGTGCCATGAAGTACGCCATCTATGCCCTCTGTGTGAACTCACACCAGCACTCCCAGTGCCGGGACTGCAAAGACAGTCCCTCTGAGGACCTGACCTCAGCTTCAGAGCCAGCAACTGACTCTCTCCCAGCCCAGGTACAGTGCTTCCCTGATCCGTGGCAGATGCTGGTGAGGTCAGTCCCAATGAGTGCTTTGTATGGTTGCCTTTTTCTACCAGGACTTGAAGTAGCCTTGATTTTTTTTATGATGATTTAATGGTGTTCAAAATAATTTTATCCATTTATCCGTCTCAACTCAAAAGGACATGGACAAAGCAAGTGTCTTGTTTCCATTGCAACAGAGTTTAGTCACCTAGTGCAGTGTTTGCCAAATGCTTTCTTTTTTGTAGTTACAATCCAAAGTAAGAATGCATTTCATGTCACACTCCAGTTTATACCAAGGTATACAACTTATATCTTTAGATGTGTATGCATTGTGTATATATGATATGATTTATAAACTGAAACTAAGTTTTCAGAAACAATACTTACTCTTTCAAATGGAACATGCTTGTAGCTATTTTTCTATTTAATAGTTCTTTCTTTTTTTACTTATTTGTTTTTCATTTCTTTTTTGATAAATCTCACTACGTAGTTTAGGCTGACCTCAAACTCTTGTGATTTTCCCTCAGTCTCTCCAGTGCATACCACACCCACCACACCCTACTTTATTTCTTTTTTTTTTTTATTGCCATACTGGAGTTTACACTCAGGGCCTATACCTTGGACCATTCCACCAGCCCTTTTTTGTGAAGGCTTCTTTCCAAGATAGAGGCTTTGAACCATGATCCTCCTGATCTCTGCCCCCTGAGTAGCTAGGATTACAGACATGAGCCACCAATGCCCAGATCATTTTTTAATATAGTCCTAAGTTAATTTCATTAGTCACAATCTATAGTATGAGAAATGCCTACCTAATGCCCTGTCCTCTCTCACTTTTCTGAATAACTTGTAAGTCCTTAACTTCTAGTGCTCAATTTTCCCTCTCCTCTATCTTTGGAATAGACCTTCACCTCTGGGCATGGTCATTTTTTGACTATTGAATGTTTCTTAAAAGTCTAGTCATTCCACGATCATTTTTATCATAAAAAATGGTTAAGATAGAATTGAGTCAGACATGGTGGTATATACTGTAGTCTCCACACTTGTGAGGCTAAGGCAGGAGGATCACAAGTTTGAGGCCATCCTCAGCCTCGCAGTGAGAACCTATCTCAAAAAAAAAAAAATAGAATTGAGGAATATAGAGTCTGCGTGCTACCTTGACTCTCGTAACTAAAGTACGTAGTATTTGCCAGAGGTGGTGAGTAATATATTTAAAAAGCAGAAATAAATAATAAGTGTTCAGTAAACTGTACTTTTTAATCAAAATGACAAAATCTTTCTGCCAATCATGAAAAGATACGGCTGAGTTGACTTTCATATTCTTCTGACTGTTGCCTCAGTTCCCTTAGTCATTAAAAGATAATAAACGAGTTAAAGTTCTGAGAAGGTTTGAATCTGGCAAGCACAGTTCCTAAGGTTTGCATTCTGTCTCTCCTCTTCCCTTCCTCTGACCTCTTATACATCTTTAGGTGCTTCACGTCTCTTTTCAACATACCTAGCCAAGTGTCAACAGTATCTGTGCAGTATCCCTGATTCTTTGTGTCTGGAACTTCTCGAAAACATCTTTTCATTGCTCCTCATCACCTCTGCTGATCTTCACCCAGAGCCTCATCTGCCTGAGGATTATGTTGAAGATGATGACATTGAGAAGAAAAGCCCCTTGGATTTGAGGTCCCCTTCAGAGAGCCCACAGCACACAGCACAGCCTGAAAGGAAGTCAGAACAGGGTTCCCTGGGAGCCTTGAGAAGCCTTGCTCATACAGTGCCAAGCTATCAGAAGGCAGAGCCAAAAGACAGGTCCCCAGGGCCTCACGGGCATAGCTTTTTGGATCTAAAACACTTTACTAATGGCATCAGTGGGTTCCTGGCTGATGAATTTGCAATAGGAGCCTTCCTCCGGCTTCTCCAGGAGCAGCTGGATAAGATTAGCAGCCACAGCACCTGTGAGAAGGCAAAGCCGCTAGAAGGCCAGAGCTGCTCAGGAAGCAGAGATGGACTACAGACCCGCCTCCACCACTTTTCCAAGGTTCTCTCTGAGGCCCAGTGGAGATACAAGGTGGTAACAAGTAACCAGGGTTCAGGTAAGAGGAGGGAGCAGCATTGGTAGGTCTAAAAAGTAGAGATGGAGAGAGGTAGGGTACATAGGAATCATGCCATAACTCAGGACACATCACCACAGCAACCAGTGTTCTGTGTCTCAATACTCCACAAATCATCCCCTACTCTTTCCACCAAGGGAACAGCATCAAATCAAAGCTGATCACTCTCCCTGTGTTTGCTGTTTTAGAGGATCAACCTTCCCAAAGATACCGACCCATTGCTACACGGCACTCTAGTCTCCGCCGGGCTCGTCGGACAAGAAGGAGCCGGGCAGGTAATCTGAAGAACTCTTTCTTCATTCCTCATTCCCAAACACCAGGCAAGTGGTATATTGCCACTTGCCGAATAGTCTTCAAGACAGGGCACATGGTCAAAACAAACAAAAGTGTTGTATGATTATGCTAGTCCCACCCCTTCCCCAGTGAACTCTTGTTAATAGTTTCTTACATATCCTTCCAGAAATTTTCCATGAAATACAAACATACATATCCTTTCATATACATACATGCATAATACTACATTCATATATATATACGTATATAAAGAATTGCAACTTCATATTTTCACTTATATCCTTTTATGTATATAGATGTATCATACTATATATTGAGAATTTCTTTCACTTATTTTCTAAGTTACTTAGTGTTCCATTGTCACATGTACCATGTTCATTAACATTTATGTTGTATCCAGTTTTTTACTATTAAAAAAAGTGCTACAACCAAAAATCATATGTTCTCCCTCATATGCGGACATTAGATCAAGGGCAAACACAACAAGGGGATTGAACTTTGATCACAAGATATAAGTGAGAGCACACAAGGGAGATAGGAGGATAGGTAAGACACCTAAAAAATTAGTTAGCATTTGTTGCCCTCAACGCAGAGAAACTAAAGCAGATACCTTAAAAGCAACTGAGGCCAATAGGAGAAGGGGACCAGGAACTAGAGAAAAGGTTAGATCAAGAAGAATTAACCTAGAAGGTAACACACACACACAGGAAATTAATGTGAGTCAATGCCCTGTATAGCTATCCTTATCTCAACTAGCAAAAACCCTGTTCCTTCCTATTATTGCTTATACTCTCTCTTCAACAAATTAGAGATAAGGGTAAAATAGTTTCTTCTGGGTATCAAGGGGTTGGGGGGGAAGAAGGAGGGGGCGGAGTGGGGGGGGGAAGGAAGGGGGCAGGGGCAGGGAGGAGAAATGACCCAAGCATTGTATGCACATATGAATAATTAAATAAATAAATAAAAATAAATAAAAAATTTAAAAAGTGCTACAATAAACAACCTTATACTTGTCTGTGCAAGAATAAGTTCCTAGAAGAAATTCTAGGTCAAATGTATTTGATATAAAATGTAGATTGATATTACCAAATTGCCTGAACAAAGGTAGATCAATTTATATTTCTGAGACTTGTATGTGACTGCCTATTTTACATAAACATTCATTAACAATGAGTGATACCAGATTTTTTAAAAATCTTTGCCAATATAATTGATATAATAATGATATTTCATAGTTAATATTAATTTTTTAGTTTGATTGAGGTTGAATGTTTTTCATACATTTATTAGCCATTTGTATTTCTCTGTGAGCTGCCTAGTCATATCTAAGGTCCATTTTTCTATTGAGTTCCTTTTTTTGTTTAATTGTAGAAAGCTCTTTATATATTAAGGGAAACAGTTTATCATTTTGTGCTATAGTTTTTCTCTATTTTGTTCATTGAGTTTTTCCTAGAAGAATTTAATGCTATTAACACTATTTATTATATAGGAGTACAGTTTTAAATTTTTAGAAAATCAAATTTCCTTTATGACTTTTAGTGCTGATCTCTTAAATAATTAGCAAGGAAGTAATAGAGTTTCCTATGTACTAAACAGTAATAGTAGGTATCTTTAATGAGGCACAAACCAAGTCTTTGCTTTCAAAGAATGTATAATTTACGTACATAGCCAATATACATGAAAAACTGAACTGAGGCACTATCCAAAAACAGAAGAAACCTCTTAGAAATGGGCATCAGCATAGCCTCAAAAATTAGGGAAATAGATTTCATGAAGGAGTTAACTCTTGAGCCAAGCTCTGAGGAATGAGTGGACTCCAGCTAAGTGGCAATAAGAAAGGAAAAATATACTGAGTAGGGTGCAGGGTGCCATGAGAAAAACCTGGAAAAACTTCAAGGCCGAGTTGCTAAGGACCTAAAGCTGCTTAGTTGGTTTGGGTCAGAAGGCATTTTGCATCTACCTGACTCATCCAACCCAAGGATGTATACCCATGTACACACACAGTTAACTATTCCCTCTAAAGGGAAATTTAGAGAGCGAGCCAAGAAGACTCCCTTGCATGGAGTGATACAACCGCCATATGATCACAGTAAGGGACAGACAGCCTCTATCAGCAAGCCCTAACACTTCAGGAAAATGGATGTTGGGAAGCTTTGAACAGGGTGGTCTTTTCCAGGCCAGGTCTTATACTTTGGTTTCCTACCTTTTCAAATATGAGGATACCCTTTTTTCTGTCAGGAAATTTTGCTGTGTCCCTTCTTTGCACCCTTTTGCTTCCTGGTCATAACAATTGCTCTTCTATTTTTTTTTTTTTTCAGACTATTGCTTCTGCTTAGTGAGCAGATGGGAGTCACTGACCCCTAGAAATAACTTGAAAGCTCTTAGGACTCTATTCCCACAAGCTGGAAACCATTGATACAGGGTATTGCTCAAGGGAGCCCTGGGGCCTTGTTAAAACTGCCCTTCGCTGTTGCCATAAAAGGAGCAGCAAGTGTAGTAGTCACCTATTGTCTTCTCACTTCTCAGATCTTGGCTTGGAAGCTGACTTTGCAATTTCTCCACTGTAAGGAGTTGATAATTGATTTTTCTCTCTTCTTTCTTATACCCCTAGATGTCCGGAAAAGAGGCTCCAACCCATCCTTGGAAAGTACAAGTAGTGAACTAAGCACAAGTACTTCAGGTATGCGGATCCCAACCAGCCACCAACTTTCAGCAGCTGTGCCCTGACACAGAGTTGCCATACATCATGATATTAAGACCAGAACTGAGCCTGTTTCAATGCCTGTGTTCAAGGAAGTTGGTTTGGCACGTTGCCAAACAGATGTCAACTGTAAAAGAGAATGTGCTGTTTTACTCTCAGTTGAGTTACCCACCAGCAGAAAGGAAGTAGAAAATACTCAAGGAAGGTAGTTGACACTTGTGTTCTAAGATGATGGCATGTGTTTGCTCTTTACATGAAGAAAAATCAAGATCCATTTAGAGACGCACTTTGAGAATATTAGACTTTGATGAGAGGTGGCAGTAGTACGGTGTTTCCTCAATTTCTCTTGCTTCCCTGGCCCCCCAAATTCTTGTGTCCCAGCAGAGGGGAGTTTGAGCACTGTGTCTCGACGAAACGAGCTAGATGGCCGGTTGCAGTCCCAACCTCAGAATTCACTCATCCCCATGATGTTCTCCCCACCTGAGTCACTGCTGGCATCCTGCATCCTCCGGGGGAACTTCGCAGAAGCCCATCAGGTGAAGGGAGCCCTAACTGCACCTAGTCATAGTAAAGAATGCTAAGTCAGCCCCTAACTGGCTGTTGCACACTGGTCTCCAGATAAAACTAGATGCATGTGACACCAAAATCACTCAGGAGCCACTCGGGGCCACATGCAGCAGGAGAAGCAAAGAGGAGTTTCCATGTATCCAGGCCCAATCCTCAGCATTGCAGATTTAAAGGCATTGAATTATTTGTGTTCTTTTTTCTTTTTTGTATTTTTGGCAGTACTGGGGTTTTGTTTTGGTTTTGGTTTTTTGTGATCCTGGAGATAGAATCCAGGGCCTCATGTATGCTAGGCAAATACTCAACTATTGAGCTACATCCGCAGCCCCAGTACTGAGATTTTGAACTCAGGGTTTCACATTTTCTTTATTTTTTTTTTAATAATTCATATGTGCATACATTGTTTGGGCCATTTCTTCCCCCTGCCTCATGCCCCCCGCCCCCTCCCTCTCCCCACCACCTGCCTCACTTCCAGGCAGAACATGAAGAGTAGACATGAGCAATAATAAGAAAGACATAGCATTTTTGTTAGTTTGACATAAGGATAGCTATACAGAGAGATTCCTAGCATTGCTTCCATGCATATGTCTATTAAGGGCTTCACACTTTCAAACCAGACACTCTATCTTTTAAGCCACACCTTCAGTCCGTTTTTCACAGGTATTTTGGAGATGGGGGTCTTACACAAGCTGGCCTCAAACCACAGTCCTGCCAGTCTCAGCCTCCCAAGTAGCTATAAGTACAGGCATGAGCCACTGACACCCAGCTATTTGTATTATTAACATAAACAGTATCTTAAAAAGATAAAAAATGTATGTAGCCACCCTTCCACCACTTCAAAACATTGAAATATTTTTGTTTCTTTCATTGTACTCCTTCTTTGAATACATCCATGTTTTATATAGTTAAAAATAATTATGCAAACAATTTTCAATAATAATTAGAATGCCAGCCACTTCAATATAAAAGTATAGGGAGCTAGCAAACTAGAATGTCTATAGTATGTTGAGTAAATAGCATTGTAGTAGCCAACTTCTGGGCTTAGAAAGATAGCCTGTGGGCTGGCAGAGTGGATCAAGCAGTAAGAGCACCTGCCTAGCAATTGTGAGACCCTGAGCTCGAACCCCATGCCACCAAAAAAAAAAAAGAGAGAAAGAGAGACAACCTCTCTGAGCTTCAATATTGTCATTTGAAAGTTAGAGTTAAAATGAAAATTAGAATTAAATGAAATACCTGCGTTTACCACCTTGTAGGAATGTTAAGAGGATTTTGCAGAGTGAGAAACGTAAGAGTCTTCTGCTATTGCTTAAACTCAGTAACGTAAAGTACTACTTTTCTAATGTTTCAGAATCTGAGTACATTTTTGATGCTTATGCTGGTCCCTGAACATGTACGGAAGCATTTTCTTTTTTTTTTTTAATTTTATTTTATTCCTATGTGCATACAATGCTTGGGTCATTTCTCCCCCCTTCCCCCACCCCTCCCTCACCCCCCCGACCCCTCCCTCACCCCCCTACCCCCTTGCTACCCAGCAGAAACTATTTTGCCCTTATCTCTAATTTTGTTGAAGAGAGAGTATAAGCAATAATAGGAAGGAACAAGGGTTTTGCTAGTTGAGATAAGGATAGCTAAACAGGGAGTTGACTCACATTGATTTCCTATGCATGTGTGTTACCTTCTAGGTTAATTCTTTTTGATCTAACCTTTTCTCTAGTTCCTAGTCCCCTTCTCTTATTGGACTCACTTGCTTTTAAGGTATCTGCTTTAGTTTCTCTGCATTAAGGGCAACAAATGCTAGCTAATTTTTTAGGTGTCTTACCTATCCTCACATCTCCCTTGTATGCTCTCGCTTATATCATGTGCTCAAAGTCCAATCCCCTTGTTGTGTTTGCCCTTGATCTAATGTCCACATATGAGGGAGAACATACGATTTTTGGTCTTTTGGACCAGACTAACCTCACTCAGAATGGTGTTCTCCAATTCCATCCATTTACCAGCGAATGATAACATTTCATTCTTCTTCATGGCTGCATAAAATTCCATTGTGTATAAATACCACATTTTCTTAATCCATTCGTCAGTAGTGGGACATCTTGGCTGTTTCCATAACTTGGCTATTGTGAATAGTGCTGCAATAAACATGGGTGTGCAGGTGCCTCTGGAGTAGCCTATTTAAATTCTTTTGGGTATATCCCCAAGAGTGGTATTGCTGGATCATATGGTAGATCAATGTTTGGCTTTTTAAGTAGCCTCCAAATTTTTTTCCAGAGTGGTTGTACTAGTTTACATTCCCACCAGCAGTGTAAGAGGGTTCCTTTTTCCCCTGCATCCTCGCCAACACCTGTTGTTAGTGGTGCTGCTGATGATGGCAATTCTAACAGGAGTGGGGTGGAATCTTAGTGTGGTTTTAAATTGCATTTCCTTTATTGCTAGAGATGGTGAGCATTTTTTCATGTGTTTTTTGCCATTTGAATTTCTTCTTTTGAGAACGTTCTGTTTAGTTCACTTGTCCATTTCTTTATTGGCTCATTAGTTTTGGGAGAATTTAGTTTTTTAAGTTCCCTATATATTCTGGTTATCAGTCCTTTGTCTGATGTATAGTTGGCAAATATTTTCTCCTACTCTGTGTTTGTTCTCTTCAGTTTAGAGACCATTTCTTTTGTTGAGCAGAAGCTTTTTAGTTTTATGAGGTCCCATTTATCTATGCTATCTCTTAGTTACTGTGCTGCTGGGGGTCCATTGAGAAAGTTCTTACCTATACCTATTAATTCCAGAGTATTTCCTACTCTTTCCTGTATCAACTTTAGATTTTGTGGTCTGGTATTAAGATCCTTGATCCATTTTGAGTTAATATTGGTATAGTGTGATATACACGGATCTAGTTTCAGTTTTTTGCAGACTGCTAACCAGTTTTCCCAGCAGTTTTTGTTGAAGAGGCTACTTTTTCTCCATCGTATGGACCTAGTTTCAGTTTTTTAGGCAAAAAAATCTTAAAATTGTTTTCCTCCTTCATAAGTAGGAAAAATAAATTCTATTAGTAATCACTAATTAAACCATAATGTTCTCTCTTTTTTATTGTAACTATTACATTGACTTGAAGAGAGTTGTTGAGGAGAAAACTGCCATAGAGGTGTTAGCATATATTAATTGTACAAAGGGGTTTCGTTGTGATATTTCCCTATATGCATATAATGTATGCTAACCAGTTTTCCCAGCACTTTTTGTTGAAGAGTCTGTCTGTTCTCCATCGTATATTTTTAACGCCTTTGTCAAAGACAACTTGGTTATAGTTGTGTGGCTTCATATCTGGGTCCTCTATTCTGTTCCACTGGTCTTCATGTCTGCTTTTGTGCCAGTACCATGCTGTTTTTATTGAAATTGCTTTGTAATATAGTTTGAAGTCGGGTATTGTGATACCTCCAGCATTGTTCTTTTGACTGAGTATTGCCTTGGCTATTCGTGGCCTCTTGTGTTTCCATATAAATTTCACAGTAGATTTTTCGATCTCTTTAATGAATGTCATTGGAATTTTGATGGGAATTGCATTAAACATGTAGATTACTTTTGGGAGTATAGACATTTTTACTATGTCGATTCTACCAATCCATGAGCATGGGAGATCTTTCCACTTTCTATAGCCTTCCTCAATCTCTTTCTTCAGAAGTTTATAGTTTTCCTTGTAGAGGTCATTCACATCCTTTGTTAGGTTTACACCTAGGTATTTTTTTTTTTTGGCTATTGTAAATGGAATTGTTTTCATATATTTTTCAGTTTGTTCATTATTAGTGTATAGAAATGCTAATGATTTTCCTATGTTGATTTTATATCCTGCTACCTTGCTATAGCTATTGATGGTGTCTAGGAGCTTTTGAGTAGAGTTTTTTGGGTCTTTAAGGTATAGGATCATATCATCTGCAAATAGGGATATTTTGACAATTTCTTTACCTATTTGTATTCTTTTTATTCCTTCTTCTTGCCTAATTGCTCTGGCTAGGAATTCCAGTACTATGTTGAATAGGAGTAGAGATAGTGGGCATCCTTGTCTGCTTCCTGATTTTAGAGGGAATGGTTTCAGTTTTTGTCTGTTAAGTATCATGCTGGCTGTAGGTTTGTCATATGTAGCTTTTATAATGTTGAGGTACTTTCCTTCTATTCCTAGTTTTCTTAGAGCCTTATCATGAAATGTTCTTCGATCTTATCAAAGGCTTTTTCTGCATCTATTGAGATGATCAAGTGGTTTTTGTCTTTGCTTCTGTTAATGTGGTTTATTACATTTATTGATTTTCGTATGTTGAACGACCCCTGCATTCCTGAGATGAAGCCTACTTGGTCGTGGTGAATGATCTTTTTGATGTGTTGTTGAATTTGGTTTGCCATTAGTTTATTGAGGATTTTTGCATCAATGTTCATTAAGGAGATTTTCCTATAGTTCTCCTTTTTGGAGATGTCTCTGCCTGGTTTTGGGATAAGTATAATACTGGCTTCATAAAATGTGTAGGCAGTTTTCCTTTCCTTTCTATTTCGTGGAACAGTTTAAGGAGGGTTGGTGTCAGTTCTTCTTTAAAGGTCTGATAGAATTCAGCAGAGAATCAGTCAGGTCCTGGACTTTTCTTTTTGGGGAGACTCTTCATTGCTGCTTCAATTTCATTATGTGTTATAGATCTATTCAGATCATTAATATCCTCTTGGTTCAGTTTTGGATGATCATATGTATCTAGAAATCTGTCCATTTCTTTAAGATTTTCGAATTTGTTTGAATATAGGTTCTCAAAGTAGTCTCTGATGATTTCCTGGACTTCCATGGTATTTGTTGTTATTTCCCTTTTGCATTCCTGATTATACTAATTTATGTTTTTTCTCTCCTCATTTTAGTCAGGTTTGCCAGGGGTCTGTCGATCTTGTTCATTTTTTCAATGAACCAACTTTTTGTTTCATTAATTCTTTGTATGGTGTTGTTAGGGTTTCTATTTCATTGATTTCAGCTCTTATTTTTATTATTTTTCTTATTCTATTTCTTTTGGGATTTCCTTGTTCTTGTTTTTCTAGGAGTTTGAGATGTATCATTAGGTCATTGATTTGGGATCTTTCAGTCTTTTTAATATATGCACTCATGGCTATAAACTTTCCTCTCAGGACTGCCTTTACTATGTTCCATAGGTTCCGGTAGGTTGTGTTTTCATTTTTGTTGTCTTCCAGGAACTTTTTAATTTCCTTTTTTATTTCATCAATGACCCATTTTTCATTAAGCAATGAGTTATTCAGTTTCCAGCCATTTGCATGTTTTTTGTCTTTACTTTTGTTGTTGAATTCTAGTTTTATTGCATTGTGATCAGATAGAATGCATGGTATAATTTCTGTTTTCTTATATTTGCTGAGACTTGCTTTGTGCCTAGGATATGATCTATTTTGGAGAAGGTTCCATGGGCTGCTGAGAAGAATGTATATTGTGTAAAAGTTGGATGAAATGTTCTGTAGACATCAACTAGGTCCATTTGATCTGTTGTATATTTTAGATCTAGGATTTCTTTATTGATTTTTTTTTTTTGGATGACCTATCTATTGATGATAGTGGGGTGTTAAAGTCTCCCAGGACCACTGTGTTGGAGTTAATATATGCTTTTAGGTCCTTCAGGGTATGTTTGGTGAAATTGGGTGCGTTGAGATTGGGTGCATATAGGTTGATAATTGTTATTTCCTTTTGGTCTATTTCCCCTTTTATTAGTATGGAATGTCCTTCTTTACCTCGTTTGATCAATGTAGGTTTGAAGTCTACTTTGTCAGAGATAAGTATTGCTACACCTGCCTGTTTTCGGGGGCCATTGGCTTGGTAAATCTTCTTCCAGACTTTCATCCTAAGCCTATGCTTATTTCTGTCAGTGAGATGGGTCTACTGTAAGCTTCCTTTTTAATCCAGTTCATCAAACGGTGCCTTTTGATGGGGGAATTAAGTCCATTAACATTAAGTGTTAGTACTGATAGGTATGTGGTGATTCCTGCCATTTAGTTTTCGTAGGTTTGATTGTGTGTACCTAAGTTGAGGTTACTCTCTACTTTCTTGCTTTTTCTTTTCCTATAGTTTGGTGCTGCCTGCCGTTTCATGGTTATGTTGGGTTTCACTTTCTGTGTGCAGAATCCCTGGAAGAATCTTTTGTAGTGGTGCTTTGTGGTCACATATTGTTTTAGTTTCTGCTTATCATGGAAGACTTTTATTGCTCCATCTATTTTGAATGATAGTTTTGCTGGGTAGAGTATCCTCGGGTAGAAGTTATTTTCATTCAGTGCCCGGAAGATCTCACTCCAAGCTCTTCTTGCTTTTAATGTTTCTGTTGAGAAGTCTGCTGTGGTTTTGATGGGTTTACCTTTATATGTTATTTGTTTTTTCTCTCCTACAGCCATCAATATTCTTTCTTGCGTCTCTGTATTTGTTGATTTAATGATAATATGCTGTGGGGTAGATCTATTTTGGTCTGGTCTGTTTGGCATTCTGGAGGCCTCTTGCATCTGTATGGGAATATCTTTCTCTAGTTTGGGGAAATTTTCTGTTATTATTCTGTTGAATATATTACGCATTCCCTTTGTTTGCACCTCTTCTCCTTCTTCAATGCCCATGATTCTCAGGTTTGGTCTTTTGATGGAGTCAGTGAGTTCTTGCATTTTCTTTTCACAGGTCTTGAGTTGTTTCACTAATAGTTCTTTGGTTTTTCCTTTAATTACCATTTCATCTTCGAGTTCTCAGATTCTGTCTTCTGTTTGTTCTATTCTGCTGGATTGGCCCTCCATTTTGTTTCGCAATTCTGTTTCATTCTTTTTTCTGAGGTTTTCCATATTCTGAGTCGTTTCCTCTGTAATGTTGTCTATTTTTGTCCTGAGTTCATTTATCTCTTTATTACTCGTGTTCTTTGTTTCCCTTTGGTGTTTATACAGTGCTTCTATGGTTTCTTTTATGTCTTCTTGTGCTTTTTCAAATTCTCTATTTTTGTTGTCTTGGAATTTTTTGAGTGTCTCCTATACATTTTGGTTGACCATATCCAGTATCATCTCTATAAAATTCTCATTGATTACCTGTAGTATTTCTTCTTGTAGATTATTCTTGTGGGCTTCATTGGGTTCTTTGGCATAGTTTATCTTCATTTTGTTGGAGTCTGGACCTGAGTATCTGTTTTCTTCATTTCCCTCTGGTTCCTGTACTAATTTTTTGCTGTGGGGAAACTGGTTTCCCTGGTTTTCTGTCTTCCCATCATTGCCCTTGGTGTTGTTATTGTCCCTGCACTGTGTGCAATTAAGTATTTTCTAGATTGTAATAATAACAATGGTGATATTTAGAATGGAAGGGTGAGAGGAGAGGGAAAGCAAAGAAGTTAAAGAAAGGGAAAAACAAATAAACAAAAAAACCAAAACAAAATTTTCAAAGATATAAACAGGGAGATATAGTGAACTAATCAACACTCAGCTGAACAGGCATTAGAGAGACAGAGGGAGGATTGTGAAAAAAATAAAATAATAAATAAATAAATAAAAATTAAAAAATCTCCAAGTTCAAATGCAATAAAGTTTCAGTCTTAATAATTTTGGTGTTAGTCCCTCAGCCTCCAATCCTGGAGATGGTGTCTCAGAAGTAGTTCTGTCGTCTCATCAAAGGGGGAAAAAAACCAAAAAACAAAACAAAAATAAAAATACCACAAAGTGTCCCAAGTTCAAATGCAATACGGTTTCAGTAATTTTTTCAGCATGCAGGTGTAGTTCGGTTGTTGTCTCATCAAAGGTAGGGAGAGAGAAAAAAGAGTTTGGAGACAGTTGTCTGAATCGCTATCTGAGGCTGTGGCTCACCTGCCCACTGCTGTCAGCCTGCTGTTGCTGGAGGCTTTATTTATGCAGATCTCAGGAGTGAGCTTAACACTCACCTAGTCCCACAGGCTTTGTTTACTTAGAGTTCTCCTGGGCTTGACTGCCACTGCTACAAGCTTTCCCCTTTCCAAGCACACTGGGGGAGGTGACACTGCACCCGCTTTTACAGTTCACGTGGGAAGTGGGCCTTCCCCCCTCTCCTGTGGAGTTTTCCTCTCATCGTCACTTTTACAAGCTTTCCTGCCCCTGGTTGCTGCTGGGCGTGTGCCACCGCTCCTGCCTTCTCTGGCCAGCTTGTTTATTTACAGTTCGGTGAGGGATTTCCCTTTCCCCCTCTTTGGCTCTCAGGGCGCCCTGCCCTCTTTGCTACGTGTCTTTTTTGTTGTTAATGCTTATTGTTCAGGTTTTTTTTCTTTTTTCCCTGGGTGGTGGTCGATCTGTCCAGCGGGCTATGCTGATCTGGCCCAGGGTTGTCTGTGGGAGTACCACATGCCGCTTAGCTCACCTTGTGGTCTGCATCTTCCCAAGCCGTCTGGGTGCTGCGGTCTGGCAGTGCGGAAGCCTTCCTGGTTTCTCCGTTTAACATGAAGTGGGAATGCTATGCTCAGGCTGGAGGTGTGGAGGAGTCAGAGTTTTGCCTCTTCTTGGTGGTTTTTCCTGTAAGGTGTATCTCCAGCGTCTCTCCAAGATTTTACTTTAGGAGGCACACTAAAGTACTTTCTGCTTCCTCCCTCTAGCTGCCATCTTGGAATCCATCAAGCATTTTCTTTAGTGTGAGTTCAGTTGTTTGGGAATAAATCTAGGAGAAATCTGGATGATAGGATAATCTTTCCTTAACTTCCTGTGGTCATTTTTTATCTCATACTTTAATAATAAGGATAATTGTGATCCTCTGGGGAATATAGTACCCTCTCTGACCTTCTTTTTTTGTTGTTTAGATTTTGCAGTGCTGGGGATCAATCCCATGGCTCACATGTTATGCTCACGCTTTATTACTGAACTGTATCCTAAGCCCTAAAATTTGGGGTTCTGGTTTTTTGTTGTTGTTGCTACTTCAGCCTTTCTTAAACCCAAACCCTAAGGAATTTGGGAGTCCGTGATTTTTTTTTTTTTCTCTTAAATGCCTTCGACTTCTCTTCCTTTCCTTGACCCTTTGTCTTATTTTTTTTTAAATAGTAACTTTTATTTCTTAACCTGGCTACAAAACAAGTAGTGCATATTATAAGAAAACACAAAAAATATTAACAAGAAAATAAAATTACTTTTTACCCTGTTGTAGGGAACAACCAATACTAAAGTTGTATACTTTTAGCCTGTATTTTTCTAAGATAGTGTAACTTCTATATAGTTGAAATTATTTTGAATCTGAAACTTCAAATTGTGCCATTTTGTCATTATAAGCATTTACTTATAATTTTGATATTAGTGACCTTATAATAGTCTGATTAAATAACACTTAACCATTTTCTTTTACCCAACATATAGATTATTTTCAACTTTGAAATAGTTGTAATATGCCAAAATGATCACCTTTAGGCATTAAGCCTTTTGGATCATTTCCTTAGGAAAGATTCTCATAAAAAATTACTGAGTCAAAAGACATTTTAAAAGCTTTATAGATTGCCAAACATTTGTTATAGTTTACCCCTGACAATTTATTTTTATACTTTGATATTGTGATAGTTGTAAAATATTATTGTTACTTAAATTACTGGTGAGGGAAAATATTTTCTCATTTCTATATTAGTCAAAAGTTCTTCTCTGAAATTGTCTAGATCGTTTTACTTTTTTTTTTTTTTCTTTTTTGGTAGTACTGGGGTTTGAACTCAAGGCCTGATGCTTTGCTAGGCCTGAGGGTCTCACTCACAAACTATTTGTCCAGCCTGGCTTCAAACAGAGATCTTACTGATCTCTGCCTCCTGAGTAGCTAGGATTATAGGTGTGAGCCACTGTGGTACATCTTTTGCATATTTTCTTCTGGGCCATTGGTGATTTTCTTACTGACTTTTATGAGTTACTTTTGTATTCAATCTACTCTTTTAACATTTAGTACCCTTCTGACCCTATAAAGTAGACATTGTAGGGCCACCACAGCCACGCTCCTCCCTCTCCCATGACAGGTGGTATTCATGTTCAACCTGAAGTCCTCACCTAGTGCAGGGGAACTGATGTTTGTGGAGCGCTACCAAGAGGTAATCCAGGAGCTAGCCCAAGTAGAGCATAAGATTGAAAACCAGAACTCGGATGGAGGTGCCAATACCATTCGGAGATCCGGCAGTGGCCGCTCAACTCTACAAGCCATTGGCAGTGCTGCAGCAGCAGGTCAGGCTTCCCTGCTGCTACTGTAAGTGGTGAGGTAGCTGGGGGGTGGGAGATGTAAGGGGAGAATCATGTAGCTATTCATGCCAATGGGCAGAAATCTAAAACAGGACACCTGTCTTCAACAACAGCAATTCTGTCACATTCAGAGTAGTTTTCTAGTTACATCCATCCTCCTTGATCACATACCTGACACTCAAATCCTCTGTAACTTAAACTAAAGAACATTAGTGCTGTTCCCACCATGCAAATGCCCTATCTCAGGCTTTTGGAAATGGTTAGGAGTTTATTTCCTTCCCATATAAATAACTATTCAGGGATAAAGCATAATATTTTACTATTCCAAAAGTGAAGAAGCTGTGTTTATAACCTGGGATCAACCTGACTCAATTCCCAGCTGTGGCTGCACAATCAAAAAGCTTGTCTTTCATTATTTCTTGAAAGTGGAATCATTCCCACATTTTCACATCTCGTATTGGTCTAGACTCTATATTTCAAGTTACTATCGCACATTGCTTCTTAAATACCCTCCAAAAATTTTTCTTTGCCTATTTCAAAAAATATAAACACATCCTTTTCATAGTCTTAATACAAAATATTAGTTACAATATTTGAGATCTGTTCCAATTAGATTTGCTTCTTTCTTTCTCAGCCTGCTTTTAATCCTGTTTGGAAGAAGCCCTCCCCTCGCCTTGATCATTCTGAGTTTCTTTTGGTCTTCCTTTCCACACCTTTGTTTTGGTGCTGTAAGAGTAGGCTGTGAGGCTGATGCTAATATGCATAAATCCTTCCAATTTTTAAAAAAAATAACTACTTTTCATAACAAAAGTAGTGATTAGAATCACTTTACTCCCTTTCTTTTTACTCCACTGCTGGGTGTCCAGGGATGGTATTTTATTCCATCGCTGATGTGACCGACAAGCTGCTCAGCAGCTCAAGCTGCTCTGGAGACCCCATCCCCACACTCCAGGAAGACTTCTGGATAAGCACTACATTGATGGAGCCTGCTGCTCCCTTGAGAGAGGTTCTGGAAGACCTCAGTTCCCCTGCCATGGCTGCATTTGATCTAGCTTGCTCTCAGTGCCAGCTCTGGAAAACCTGCAAGCAGCTCTTGGAAACAGCTGAACGACGTTTGAACAGCAGCCTTGAGAGTCGGGGTGAGTAGGTGGCCTCAGCCTTGTCCCTTCATCTCTTCATTCTGAGGTGAACTCTGGAAAAACTTGATTGATAACTGTTAGAAGAAGGAGGACAAGGAGAAAATATTACTAGTTAAATGTCCTCACATCCAATATAATGGCATAAATACAGTCTATAGAGAGTCTCACCTTTGTCCTTGGGGGTGTTTTTTGTTGTGCAGTGCTGGGGATGGAACCTCTGGCCTCATGGATGCTGAGCAAGCACTCTACCACTGAGCCACACCCCTACCCCTGAGTATCTCACCTTCTTAATAGACACAACAGTCTATAGTCATTTTGAGAAATTTTTTTCTGGTTTATCATTAAATTGAAGGAAGAAATGTCCTTTTAAAAATGGTGCAAATTGAAGCTGGGACTATAGCTCTGTGGTACAGCATGTGCTTAGCATGCATGAGGCCCCGAATTCAATCCCCAGCACCACAAAACAAAAGGTACAAATGGAATTTGGGCCTTTAATTATATGCCATTCCTAGCTGAACCTCTGCCATGAACCTACTTACCCTAAAACCTGGGACTAGGTGTAAGGGATCACAGATGGAAGGAGAATCATGCCTTGAAGTTAATAATGTCCCAGAATGTGTATATGAAATTCTTATATGAAATGGAACTAGGCAATTAGAGAGAACAGATATGATTCCAGCTCAAGTCTAGGCCTGAGGGTAGTAAACAAGGTGAATCCTGTAAGAGTGCCAGAGATTCTGAATCTACTGCTATTTACAATGGAGGCTTCTTACCAAAAGTAGTCCTGGAACCTTAGGTGTGGAATAAGCCAAGTTTGCCAGTTTTCACCCAAATTGGCACAAGATGTATTTCATCGGACTGGTGGAGTGGCTCAAGTAGTAGAGCACTTGCCTAGCAAATGTGAGGCCGTGAGTTCAAACCCCAGTACCACAAAAAAGAAAAAAAAAAGAAAGAAGGATATATTTCATCATTATTATTGGGGAAGATAAAATTAGACAAGTAAACACAATATTGAGTACCAATCCCAAAAAATGCCTTATCCCTCTGTCGATTTCCAGGTCGAAGGTTAGACCAGGAGGCACTCCTCAATGCTGATGGCATTCGAGGTTTTCCAGTTGTTCTTCAGCAAATTGGTAAAATTCTCAATTATTCACATACGCCAGCTGGACAAACTAAATCAGGTGAATTGCCTTTCTCCCTTTTCCTGTTCCTGGACTTGGAACAATAGGTCAGCAGCAGACTTCACTTTTTCCTCTCGTTTGCTTTCCATAGAGGGTATAGAAGATAAGGGCGGAGGCCCTCCGCGGTACAATATCACTGAACTGCTTCAGATGTGCTGGCCCAGCCTCACTGAAGACTGTGTGGCCAGCCACACCAATCTCTCTCAAGAGCTGGATCAGACCCTTCAGTCACTGAGAGAAGCACTAGCACTACCAGGTACAGGGCTGTCTGCTCAGGAATGGATAAACAGAGAAGGTCAGAACCAAAAAAAGGAAATAACTCAGGCTCAGGACTCTAAAACTGGGCTTGACCAGCCTATCAGTTAACTATGGCACACCTTAGAACTGAATTTCCTCTGTTTTCTCACCTCTCAGTTAAAAGTATGGTTAACACTCCCATGAGCGGGTACATTTTCCTCTCCCCTGATAAGAAGCGTACCCAGCAGGTACTAGGTCAGTATTGGTCAACCCTTTGTAAAAGATTGCTGTGCTCTTCATAAAGTTATTCTACCCTCAAGATAAAAGGGCAAAAACAGGACTATATACCCTGACTCCTCCAGACTCAAAAGTTCTTTCTGGCTGAGAATCACTTGTCCAGGTGACCAAACTAGGATTTTATATCCATCTTGTAAGTGTAGTGCCTAAACTATAGGATGCCCCATATAGTATGTAGGATCCTCAGCTTATGCATTGGGTCCAAAATCCACCCAAATCTGGATGCACAGACTAAAGCCTATATCCCTTCTCCTGCCCTAACTCTTTTCAGAATCTAGGAATACTCCACTCACTTCCCTGGTGGAGCAATCAGCCCAGAAAGCCACTGAAGCGGAAGCCCACCCAGTACACATCCAAATTCAGCTCCTCCAGAAGAATCTGGGCAAACAGACCCCAACAGGCAGCAAACAGATTGACTATGTGGGCACCTTCTTCAGCTATTGCAAGACCCTGGCTGCAGTTCTCCTTCGGAGTTTAAGCTCTGAGCCTGGTAAGTAACAAGAAAGAGAAAATAGAGCCATGGCTGGCCTACAAGCACTTTGAATAAGAAGAGGAAAGGTGCTCATTTCAGAGCTTCTGGATACAGCAGTTGCCCAGGATGCCAGTTTTGTAAGATTCTCCTCCCTTATTCGTCTCTGTTTGTGGTATCTTTATGCTAAGTACAGCTGCACTGAACATGGAAGTACTCAATAAAATCTCATGAAATTAGTGGCTCAAAAATATCTCTGGGAGACCTTGAGTCCATTGCAAATTTGAGGACCCCGTAGAGACAGCAAGATTTTAGTAAGATATTTTTATAAATGAACGGTTTTTTCCTTTTCTTTTTTTTCTTTTTTTGGCGGCAGTAGGGTTTGAACTTGGGGTCTCACACTTGCTAGGCAGGCACTCTACCCTTTGAGCCACTCTGCCAGCCAAAAAAACAAGCTTTTGATATGAGTACCATGAGAAAGCAGTCTTTCTATCAAAGTGTGTGTGGCCATTTTAGTTGCCTGCATTGTCTGTAGTTCCGGGTTCTTCTTCTGGAATTCTTGCTAAGCCACTTTGCCCACAAAAATTGCCTGCCACACTGTGTATCTTAACCCCTCCCCTGAGTTGGTATAGAGTTTCAGTTAGTCAAGAAGATTGTGAACTTTTGATCTGGACCAATCCAGGTCAAGAGGCTGGGTTAATGGCGGCAGGGATGCAAGGAGGGGCAGACAGCCTGCCCCTCTCTGTGCTTGTTCTGCCCATGTGCATGCTGGCACCCTTCTGGTCAGAAGTAAATTTTGAGTTGCTGAGATGATACATTGTTCCCATGTCTTCAGTCAGAGCTTCCATTTCTAACAGATTCTTACCTGAGTTCGCAGAGCAAGCAGAGGTGAGCATACTTCACCCAAAAATCTGAAGTCCTAAATGCTCCAACATCCAAAACTTTTTGGGTGCCAACCTGATGCCTTACATGGTAGGTTCCACATTTGATAGATTACAGTAAAAACACAGGTGCACTAAAAATACTATATAAAATTACCTTCCAGCTCTGTGTATAAGGTATAAATGAAACATAAATTATTTTTATATTTAGATTTGGGTCCCATCCCCAAAATGTCTCATCATGTATATGCAAAAATTCTAAGATCCAAAACACTTCTGGTCCCAAGCATTGGATGTGGGATACATGCACTTCATTCAGGTTGAAATGAGCAGGAGTGAGCTGTCTGTGCTAGACATGTCCACTGATAATTTGTCTAAGTTGGAAATCTTTAAAGCAGTGGTAACCCACAGATGAGCTTGAGGTCAGGATCATGTTGAGAACACTCTTAGCACAAATCAACAAAACAACTCTTAATGTTTTCATTGTGACATTGTAATTTGCAGTGTAATTAACTGGTTCTGGGAAACAGGGTTCTGAGCTGTTGCAGTCAATGATGCATACAAGGGTTACTTTCTCTACATTTGCAGATCGTGTGGAGGTCAAGGTAGGAAATCCCTTTGTTCTCCTACAACAGAGCTCTTCCCAACTGGTGTCACATCTCCTGCTTGAGAGACAAGTTCCCCCAGACAGGTAGGAGCCAACTCTGTGGGAGTCAGCTATGGGCCTCTCTCATTGCTTCATTAGGGAAACCAAATGCTTGGTGGCATTTTGCTTGGGGTCACCACAAAATGGGGAGATTTCTTGGAGACTTTTTCTCAATGTGCATTTACGCTAATGTAGTATATTAAATTCACTGTTCTTTTTCTCCCTTGCCACTGCTAACGTGTATTGCAAGTATGAAATTAATGAATCTTCATTATGGATAGGCAAAAATCCAAACATTTGATAACAGTGGTTCTGTAGGCTATAGGAAAATAAGCATTCTCAGAAGTTGCTGGTAGAATATAAAGTGGTATACCCCATGGGCAAGCAACTTGTCAATGTCTGTTAAAAACTACAAATTTGCCCTTTGATCCTGGATTCCTAATCCATGTTGGTGAATTTATCCTGCAGCTTTATTGTATATGTGAAAAGTGATGTGTATACAACAGAACAGAAGACTTCATTGTTCACATAATATAAAGGGGGAAATAATTAAGAACTTTCATTTACATTTGCCGTGTAAGTATTCAGGCCTCATGTCTTCTCTTTCTCTTCCTCCAGGTTGGCAGACCTTCTGGCCCGAGAGGGTCTCAGCCTAAGTGTGCCACAGATCATTGTCAACTGCTGCTGTGAGCCCCTTACTCTTTGCCCTTCTCAGCAAACCCAACAGGCATCATCCCTTCTGACCCACCTGGGGATCCTGGCCCAGCAACACACCTCCTACTGCCTGGATGATTTCCCTGTCTCTGTGCCAATCTCCCCTAGGGCAAGGGAGAATCCTCCATTAGAGAGAAAGTCCCACCACTCTCCAAAGGACTCATCATCCCCGGTTCTCACCTCTTCCGCCTTGGCCTTCCTAAAATCCTGCTCAAAGTTACTAGCTACAGTGGCCTGTCTAGGAGCTTCCCAAGGATCAAAGGTCAGCAAGCCCAGCTTGTCGTGGAAAGAGCTTCGTGGTCGCAGGGAGGTGCCTCTAACTGCAGACCAAGTAGCCAGGGAGTGTGAACACCTCCTGGAACAGTTCCCTATGCTTGAGGCCTCCCTTTTGGCTGCCTGGGAGCCTCTACGTGGGTCCTCCAAGCAGGGAAAGAGTCTGGCAGCCAGTCTCCGTGGTAGGGCCAGTCTCTCTACTGCACTCCTGGGCCTGCATTCTCCCATTGCCCTGGATGTGCTGACTGAGGCCTTTGAGGAAGCCCTGGTGACCAGAGATTGGCCACGGGCCCTTCAGCTCACTGAAGTGTATGGGCGAGACATGGACGAGCTGAGCAGCATACAGGATGCAGTCTTGAGCTGTGCTGCAGCATGTGGTAAGCAGAACAGTATGCCTCCCTCTTTCACTGGTACATGGAATAACATGTAGCATTCACTGAGTGTGTCATCACATTTAATCCTCACAAGAACTACAGAAAAGTGAGAGGTTAGAAAATTTGCCCATGATGGTAAATAAAGTCTGTCTGACTTTAGAATGGGCACTCCTAACCTGTAATCAATATTCTGAGTTCTATAAATGACAAATAATCTGGGTCCCACACTCAGAGGCCCAGGAGGGAGTTCAAGCAAGTGATTATTTTAAAAGACAGGTCAGCAGATTTTTTCTGGAAAGGAATTTGTGGGCCATAGGGTCTTTGTTGCAACTACTCAACTTTGCCACTATAGCTTGAAAGAAGCCATAATCAATACATGCATTTTATTAAAATGTTATTTATGAAAACAAACTGTGAGTTGGCCACCAGTGGCTCATGCCTGTAATCCTAACCACTTGGGAAGCTGAGATTGAGAGAGAATTATGGTTCCAGGACAGCCTCAGCAAAAAAAAAAAAAAAAAAAAAAGGTTGTGAGACTACCATCTTGACAGAAAAGACTAGGCTGTGTTGGCACACACTATCATTCCAGCTATGAGAGGAAGCGTAAAATAGTAGAAATCCAGTCCAGGCCAAAAGTGAGATCCCATCTCCAAAATAACCAGAGTAAAAAGAGCTGGAGGTGTGGTTCATGAAGTAGAGTGCCTGCCCACCAACCAAACCCCAGTACTACAAAAAAAAAAGATCTAGGTGTGATGTTTATTCTCAGCACACATGAGGCTGAGGCAGGAGGATCATGAGGTCAAGGCCAGCCTGGGCTACGTAGCTAGACCCTGGCTCAAATACTAATTTAATTAAACATAAAAATAAACAGTGGGCCTGACAACTTTTGTTTTCAAAGCTCGCTGGGAGATTTTTCATGTAATCAGATGGAAAACCAATGAGCTACAACACTCTACTAGGAAGAGCAAGGGTTGGATGTGCTGTAGGGAATGGCTTTTGAGTAGGAGGCTCAGCTACCCTTTAGAAAGGAGAAAATCCCTCCTGAAGGTGAAGAAATCTACAGAGCAACTGTGTAGTCTTAATTGCTTGGAATCTATTTTTTGTATGTCCAAGATTAAACTTATAAAATGGATATAAGAGAGAGAGAGCTAGTAACAAATAAAATGGAAAACAACCAGGAAATAAAACTTACTTACCTGAAATAACTTCCACGTGTTTATGTATGATGCAGAGTGGAAATTGCAGAGTGTACTCAAGTTCTACTGGCAAGATGAATTTAAAAAAGTGAAGACTAGGATCATGCCTCAAGTGGTAGAGCACCTACCTAGCAAGCACAAGGCCCTGAGTTCAAACCCCAGTACTGCCCAAAAAAAGTGATCAAATTTTGTACTTGTATGAGCACAACAGCTCATACCAGCTCCTTAGGACATAGCAAGTGAGAGAATCACAATTTGAGACAAGCCCCTGGCAAAAAGTTAGCGAGACTACCCTCCCCCTGCAGTTCAACAAATAAGCCAGGCATTATGGCACACATGGGAGGTATAGGTAGGAGGATCACAGTCCAAGGCCGTGCCCTGGGCAAAAACTCAAGAGTCTTATTTTAAAAATAACTAAAGCAAAAGGACTTGGGGCATGGCTCAGTGGCTCAAATGGTAGAATGATTGCCTAGTGAACAATCATTCCTCATTGCCCTGTGAGTATGAGGTCCTGACTTCAAACCCTACTACTTCAAAAAAAAAAAAAAAAAGAAGAAGAAAAGAAAAAGAAGAAACAGAAAAGAAAGAAAAAGTGCTGTATGTGCAGCACTACCCCTTATCCCTTCCTTCCTTTTTTTTCCTTTCTTTTGTCCTCTGAAAGTCTCATGGTTATGAGCAGGTTTGTTTAAAGGGACACATAGGGGTATAGGCTTTCTCCTTGTCATATAGTGGTTCCAAGCATAAAAGTAGTTCTAAGGTCATATGGGTCTTAAGGCTCCTCCAAGCTATTTTATAATATGGAACTAGGCTCTCTCTTAAGAATTAAACTGGGATCTTAAGCATTTCCAGACCAGGCTTGCTGCCTCTGAACATTGTTTTTGTCTTACAGACAAGGAAGGTTGGCAATACCTGTTTCCTGTGAAGGATGCATATCTGAGAAGTCGGTTGGCCCTGCAGTTTATGGACAGGTGGCCCCTGGAGTCGTGCCTAGAGATCCTGGCCTACTGCATTTCAGACACAGCTGTCCAAGAAGGACTGAAGTCTGAGCTACAGAAGAAGCTGGCAGAGCTGCGGGTATATCAGAAGGTATGGGCTCTAGCATCGAGAGATGGAAACAGGCTTCTCACCTGATGACCATCCTCAGCCTGTTTTCATATAATAGGGAATTTCAAAAACAAACAGAACATGACTTTTGCTCTGCATCTGGCTTGTGTTCTTAAGCAAACAGAGGCCTTCCATCTGTTTCCAGTGTTATCTACTTATTTTAAATGTGTTTGCATCAAGCAAGGATAATAACAGAAATGGTGCCCCACACTCCACAGAGGTTTTTTCATATGTATTTAAGCTTTGTGAACGTTTTTTGTATATTATGTCTTAAAGATTGTTCTAAACTTCAGCTAAATTTTCAGAGCCATTTTGAAAGGTTGCATGACAGTGGCAGTTTAAAAAGTGAAAGATTCTTCTGGGGCATGTATTTTATCCAAGCTGAAGAGGCTCAGAGAAACAAAGTCAGGAGGCACAGCTACCTAACATGTATAAAATACACACCAATTTCCCATGTCCTTGGAACAGAACAGAGTCTAGAGCCTCACCAGAGAAGGTGAAAATGGTAGGAGAGAAAGATTTTCTTTTTACTCCTCCTCAGAAATTTTCATGCAAAACTAAAATGCTGCAGGAAAGGTGACCCCATAAAAATGTTCAAGCCAGAAGAATATCTTGAGTGGAGTTTTGAGTTGGAGGAGCTTAGTACAAGTGACCTCAAAAGGCTGGTTAAACTTCTAAGAACTGTCCTCACCAGTGAAAGCTGTGATCCTGGCCTCTCATTCGGCCTTTGCTCCCTGATTTTACTTCCCAGAGAGGTTCACATTCCTCTCTAAACAGTCTGTGCCCCATTTGTTTTCTTCCTCCTCTTTCCTGGCAAGTTCCAGTGACCTGACTTTGGGGCAGTGATCTAGGTGTGGCCCTTCCCTGGACACGTCTGAGACTTGCTCACGAAGGAAGAAGCTGCAGTGTGATTTGATGGATTTCTCTGTCTTCCCTTAGATTCTAAACTTGCAGGATCCCCCGGTGTGGTGTGACTGGCAGGCCCTAAGGAGCTGCTGTGTTGAGGATCCTTCAACTGTCATGAACATGATTCTGGAAGCACAGGTACCATTTTTCAGGGTGCTATTTCCTTCATCCTCCTTCTAGAGCTGCAACTCTTAACTGGTTATGTAGAGCCCTTCCCATTTGTCAATGTTCACATTCTTTTTCTTTTTAACTGTAAATTTTTCCAACATACAGGGAAGTACAGAGGATAATACAGTTGACATTTCTTGTATTATCACCCTTGTATTCCTATGTGAAATTTCCTATACTCCCTACACTAGGCCCAGAATGTATACCTAGAAGAGGAATCACTATGTCATCAGACATGAGCATGCTCCCTTTTTCAAGGATGATACCAAATCCCTCTTCATATCCGCTGTCCCCCTTATACTTTCTCACAGTTCCTGTTGTTCCATATTCTTGCAAATCTTTCTATTGACCAACTTTTCACTTTTTGCCAATAAGATGAAATCTAATTGATTCACTTTTCATTTCCATAATTACTAATGAATATAAATATATTTTCTATATTTATTGGCTGTTTCAGTATTAACTAGAATTTTATCTACCTTTTAGAAGCTGATATACCCATAGTTCAAAATGTAGATGCTCACTCATTCAGGAAACACTGAATGCTGTGCTCTCTGTGCTAGATGGTGGTAGGACAAAGATAATTAAGCTTAGTTCTTGCCCTAGAGTGAATCATAGTTTAGTGAAAGGGGTGATGTAAAATGTATCCTGAGATGATTGCAACATAGTATGTCCAGTGACAGAAGTAAGCCCAGATTGAGGGAGCGCAGGCAGCTCACCTGCGTAGTGAGGAATAAGGTAGCATCCTGAAAAAGGCAGCCTCAGTCACAGGTGTGGGGAGGATATACCAGATACCACCATATTGAAAAATTTGGACAGAGGCCTGGGAATTCCATCCTCCAAGACTTTAATATAGAGTTCACAAATTGGTATTATAGAATGAATGGGGAACATGGATGGAATCTAACCCCCAACACATTTGGCCCACATAGTATAGGTCACCAGAATTTTTATTTTTTCATACTGACTTCATTGCCAAAATTTTAAAGTAGGGAAATTTTTTTAATTTTTAGAAATTTGACAATACTGTCTTCACACGCATTTGGCTACAGTCAGAGCCGAACAAGTACTATGTCCTTATAACAGAGCCTTCTCAAGTTTTCCACTTCTTTAGTATCTCACCAGGGCTGATACCAGGTGTCAGTCACCATATGTCATTTGCTTTTCTTTCTTATAGTAAAACTAGGAGGAAAGTAATGTTAACAGCTTGCTTCAATAATTTCCATACCTTACTTTACTAATCTAGTCCTTTAAGTTTGTGATCTCACTTTAATAGTGAAGCTCCCATCAGCACTTACCAAACATTCCTGTGGCTTAGCAAACTCAAGACTCCTGAAAAAAATCAGGCAAAAGTTTAATAAGTGGCAAGGCAGTAACTTAAAGGGATTGAAGGCAAATGTGTTTCCTTTCAGGAATATGTTCTGTGTGAGGAGTGGGGCTGCCTCTACCCCATTCCGAGGGAACCTTTAATCAGCCTACATCAAAAGCATCTTCTCCACCTGCTGGAAAGAAGAGATCATGAAAAGGCTCTCCAAGTAAGCCTTTGATTCTTCCCATTCTTCATTTGTGGGGGAAATAAGAACATTACTCAAACCAGATGGCTTTTTTCCTGCTGAGTCCCACACAAAATATATGCAATCTCAGATCTGCCTCTTTATGTCCTTGAGTTACCTTGAGCAGAAGATGCCTGGCCCTGGACTAGGTGCTAGATGGAGTAGCTGGGTCGAGGATTCTACTGAGCTCTAGTCCTGTCAAAACCATGGCTCATTTGCAAAACTGTGGTGGGGGAGTGAAAAATGAATGTAAAAGAAGGATTATCCCAAAATAAATAGGCCCAAATATTCCTTCCTCAAATCAACCAAGGCTGGCCTTACCTTCCTCCTCTACCCTTCTCTTGCTACAGCTCCTACAAAGAATCTCTGACCCCACCATGTGCCTTGAGGTCACAGAGAAGTCCCTTGACCAGCACCCTAGCTTGGCCACTTCACACTTCTTGGCCAATTACCTCACCACACATTTCTATGGAGAACTGACCACTGTCCGACACCATGAAATCCAGGCACTGTACATGGGATCCAAGGTAAGGAGGAAAGGTTTGGGGAAACCATGCCTGAGGGGATGACTGTTAGCCTCACTCCAACTTCAGAACCTACCCTTTTAAAAATCTCTTTTTCCAGTCATCTGCCATTCTTGGCCTGTGTGTAAAATCTTAACCTAGCAGCGCACCATATCCTAGATGAGTCTCCTGGGACTTGTCATATTCTACTGCCCTGTCTCCAGAGAGAATTTTACCTGTTTCTCTCAAGTTGTTCTTGGCTTCATGGCACCTGCTTTATCAGTGCTTCTGAAGGCTAACTATGTATTAGAATCTCCTGGACTTTTAAAAAATATAGATAGTTGACCTCCATCCCAGACCAGTTAAAACTGGTCTTGGGATAGCGACTGAATATGTTCCAAAGAGATTCTGATATGAGATTTAAAATTATTGCTTGATAAACTAGTCTGTACTAAAGGATTGTTTCAGTAATTAGATGATGTAATAGGCCTTTACCTTTGCTATATAACTTTGAAGACACTAATAGAAGTTGCAAGCTAGCAAAAATCCAGTGGAGGAGGGTTTGGAGGGAGTTGGGACCCTCTAATTTCTTCTAATTATTCTGCTTGGTAGTCTTATACTGCCTAATAAATAGAACAAGTGTTAACAGAGCCATAGACCCTTAAGAAGATAGACCTTTTTTTTTTCTTTTTGATGCACTGTACCTAAATGAAGAGAAATTGGCAAAGGGCAAATAGAACCAGTGAACTTATTTCAAACCTAATGATCATGACCTCTGAAGGGAATTTTGCTTCACCATTTACATGCAGGACACAGGAGGTACCAGGATTAAGCTGCCCACTGATACTACCTTATATTGCGCATTCTAGGTAAAGCCTCACATTGACATAATGGTTTCATTGAGGATCAGGGGGATCTTAACCATGCCTGGAGGGTTTAGGCCAGATGGTTAACAGACTACCACCCACAGGCCAAATCTAGTCCTCAGCCTGTTTTTTAGATCAAGGTTTATTAGAACAAGCTATATCCATTCACTTATATATTTGCCTATGGTTGCTTTCATGCTACATTGGCAGAGTTGAAATTTTTTTATCGTCCTAAAGCCTAAAGCATTTACTCTCTGAGCCTTTAGAGAAAAAAAATTACTGACCCCTTGTGTAGATAAAGGCACTTGGGGATACTTCCCCATAGCTAACTATAGCACTTAGATGGGAATTCAGTCTTGCTTCCTAAAAGACTCTTAGCCAGTCGCAGTAGTGATATAGGTGTTTTGGTCTCTGGCACCCTCCCCCTTACCAGTAAGATTCTCAAGGTTCTTCTGAGATAATTTGTGTACTATGTTCTTTTCTCTATCGCTTTACAAACAGGTTCTGCTGACCCTGCCTGAGCAGCACCGGGCCAGCTATTCCCACTTGGCCTCCAATCCCCTGCTCATGTTAGAGCAGCTACTGATGAACATGAAAGTGGACTGGGCCACTGTGGCTGTACAGACTCTGCACCAGCTGCTGACTGAACAGGACATTGGCTTCACCATGGATGAGATTGACTCGCTGCTTTCCAGATATGCAGGGAAAGCCCTGGACCTCCCATACCCTCTGAAGGAGAAGCGATCAGGTAACTATCAGCATTCTAGATGGTAATTCTACATGGAGGAAGAGATTACATGCTACAGTTTCAATTTTAATTTTTTTCTCTTCTCATTATTTTGGATTGATCAAAAGTAAAAGATACACTTCAGGAGATACAGTTCTTTATTATACAGGCGAGATCTTGGTCTTGAGAGAAATAGGAGCCTAACCAGAATGAAAGGAAGGTAGACTGCTACTGCATGCATAAATAACATAAAGTTTTGGAGCCACATATTTCTGGAAATGGTCTCTCGCTGGCCTTGATATTGTAGGTTCTTACATGGCATCATTTTTTTATGGAGAGTGTGCTTTATTTCCAGAGATACATCAGATATCACTTATATGTGAACTGACTCAGCCTCTTTTAGAATGAAGAAAATGAAATAGATAAGTACAGTCTGATGTTCCCGGCCAGTTCTTTTTCTTTCTCCCAACCCTCCAAGGGCATAATTTAGGTGCCTTCCATTTCCATCTGGAGATTTTTAGATTTACTTTGAAATATCCTGGTGTCTACTCCATCTCTTATGCTCCTAAACATGGCTTGTTTTTTTTTTTTTTAAGAATTTAAGAAGCACATACATTCTTGACTTAGAAGTACTTCTGCCATTCCCTTTATACTTATTAGCATCATGGTGTGACAGTCAATAAAGCCAGTAGAGCTTTGAACTAAATACCTAGCACAGTGAATAAAGATGCTCGCACTAGATCGATATTTTGTCAGCATTTTCCCTCTCGACAGATTCTGTAATTCACCTCCAGGAAATTATCCATCAGGCTTCAGACCCTGATACCCTGTCTAGATCATCATCTGCAGAGCTCTCTACTGCTACTGTTCCTGGTAAGAACTGGTACCCATTCTTCAGCTCAACCTTGCGTTATTCTGATTTTCTGATTCTTTTGCCTCTTCATTTCCATTTGTGACATTCTTACTAATTTTTTTCTATAATTCACTCTAGCCTTGCATATACCATGAAATTCAATATGTAGTCGGTCCTCATTCTTTACAGTATGTCTGTAAAGTCTCTGCAAACACTGAAGTAATGAATGCTGAACCATTGCTCCAAGGGAGAACTATACACACACCTTACGTAGATTATGGTCTCAAAATCCTAAAAGTAACTCATTTTAGTAGATTCTATTTATTTTTTAAAAAGAGAAAGCAGTTCAGAAGTGACTTGTCTGAGGCTTCCCCTAATAAGGGCCAGAGTGGGATTCAAAGTCTAAGCCCCAGAACTGGAGCTGCTTGTTCTACCCTTCCCTGTCCCCTGCTGTTTCCATCTTCTGGTCACCACCAAAAGAGAGCTGAAACAAGAGGTAAGAATGTCACCTTTTTCACCCTCAACTGAGGACCTAAATGTTGGACAACTCAAAATTTTCCTCACTCTGGACATGTCCGTGAATGACCCTGAAAACACTGAGCGTATTGATTTTGAAGTTATCTGTAAATTGTAGTAAATAGACATATTTGCAAATAGGGAATTTGCTAATAATGAGGATCAACCACATTTAGTCCTTATGAAAATTCTGTTACCCACTCAGGGAACAAGCTTCTCGAAGGCCTCAGCCACGTTTTGGTCACCCCTTTCAGCACCCCTGCTCTCCCTAGTCTCTAACCCTCTGCACAATGGCCTACACAAAGAAGCTATGTGATTGTTTTGCCAAATGGTCAGGGGAGCACAATGCTAAGAGTCTCTTCTTCTGGGTGCTGCTGAGAGTCACTATGTTTTTCTGTGTTTTTCAGTTCTCTTTTTCATTCTTTGTTGTTTTTTTAGAGGTACTGGGGTTTGAACTGAGGGCCTTAGGCTTGCTAGGAAAGCAATCTACTACTTGATCCACTCCACCAGCCCTTTATTGTGTTGGGTATATTTGAAACAGGGTCTCACAAACTGAGACCTGGCTTCAAACCTCAATCCTCCTGATCTTCTGCCTCTTAAGTGGCTAGGATTACAGGCATGAGCCACCAGCTCCCAGCCTTCAGTTCTTGTTTTCTGTGACCATCCAAAGTAGCTCAGCTAGGTGACAAGAAAACTCTTTAAATACCATAAAGCAAAGACGTGGGATTTCTAGGACATCTTTGAGAATTAGTCATGCTTCACAATAACTAGCAGACCTGAGGGGAGGACCCAGACTCACAAGTATATGAGCAGCTTCATAGATCTGCTAAAGCAACCTGAGCAGAATTGGTATGTGTTTGTGTGTGTATATATATGCTTATATATATGGGTGTGTGTCTGTGTGTTTGTGTGTATACATGTATGTATATAATATGTATAACATATATATTATAAAACAGTATTCACTTATATGTGTGTATGCATGTTTATATATGTATGTGTTATGTATGTGTGTGTATATATATGAACATATATATGTGTGTGTTTATATATATATATATATATATATATATATATATATACAAGCTTTTTGTTATGGAAAATTTGCAATATACAAAAGAAAAGGAATAGTATAATGAAGCCTTGCATACCAGTCACCCAGCTACATAATTATCATCCCATACTAACCATTCTTATTTCATCTATACCCCCATTCTTCTACTCAATTATCTTGAAAAAAATCCCAAATACATCATTTCATTTATAAATATTTTACTTTAAATTTCTATAAAGTAAAGACTTTATGCCAGGCACAGTGACTCACACCTGTAATCCCAGCTACTCGGAAGTGGGGATCAGGAGAATCATGAATCAAGGTCAGCCAAAAAATTAGCAAGTCCTCATCTCAACCAACAAGCTGGGAATGGTGACACATGCCTGGGATCATGGTCCAAGGCAGACCCCAGACAAAAGTAAGACCTTACCTGAAAAATAAATAAAGGAAAAAAAGAATAGGCATGTGGCTCAAGTGATAGAGTACCTGCCTAGCAAGTGTAAAGCTCTGAGTTCAAACCCCAGGATCACATAAATTAATTAATTAAAAGTAAGGATTTTTATAAAACAAAACAAAACAAAATCATACCACCATTATCATACCTAAGAACAAATTAATAAAGATTGCTTATTATTGTGAAATATTCAGTTGTTAGTATTCAGATTTCCTAGTTGTCTCATAAAGATTTTTTTACAGTTGGTTTTTCTAGAATCAAGGTCTAAATAATGTCCAAATGTAGCATTTGGCTAAACTATCACTTAAGACTGTTTTAATCAATAGATCTCCCTCACCTCTTTTCTTTTTTTATTCCTCTCATCTCTCTTTTATTTATGGAGAAAACTAAGTCATTTGTCTTATAGAGCCTCCCACATACTGGTTGCCTCCTTATGACCATCTCAGTCTCTGACCCCTGAATTTCTAGTACACTGGTCATTAGATCTAGAAGCTTGTCTTGATTTGGGCTTAATATTTTTGGCAGTTACATTTGATAGGTTTTTTTGTACATTTTCAACGGGAGGCACACAATGTCCCATTATCTCAACTTTTGTGACATAAGCAGCCATTGGTGGTAATTAGCTGGATTCATTATTCAGTAATTGTGAAATTCTATTCTTCCTTCATGAACTGGAATATTGATCACATTTTACTCTGACCTGTGGCTCCCAGGCGTCTCCATTGTACGTTCCCCCAGCCCAGGGGAGAGGAGTTTCCCTCAGAGTCAGCCCCTGGAGTTCATACCCCCAGCAGCACCCCCTGCCAGGCACCAGTGGGTACCAGATGAGACTGAGAGCATGTGCATGGTCTGCTGCAGGGAACACTTCACTATGGTAAGCATGTCAGTCCTCAGCATCACTGCAGGGGAAAGTAAAGAGAAACTCAAGTCATGAGCCTAAGTTATAGTTACCACCTGTCCCAAAGAAAGATAGTGGTGTTTCCAGAAGTAAGGCCAAATTTAATGCTTTGGATTTACCTCTGACATGACCAGAGTGTATTTTTAGGATTCAATCAAGTCGAAGACATCCTCAAAAAGCCTTAAATTCTAAAATCTTTGTCATTCTCATGGGATGATGAAAAAGAGGCAGAAAGGGTCACCAAATGTCAAGTGATCTTACTCTAGCTTCCATATCTTTCACAATGAGCTCGTGACCTGGTAGTGGTTATATGTGCTAGCTCAGGAGAAAGAGGACCTAATCACAGCTATGCCTCCTAATACCCATGTGACTATAAACTCTTTCGATCTCATGTACCCACATGCAAATTGGGGATCATATATTAATTTGTTTATGAAGCTGTTAGGACTAAATATAATAACAAATTGTATGACATTTAATACCTGCTTGTCAGACTAGCTCAATGCTGATGAAAACAATGGGGCTATGACTTCCCTATTTCCTCTTCATATACAAAACAAGTAAAAATATTTATCGACCTCTTATAATGAAATGAGGCAATACTTATAAAAATTGGGAAAAGGATACTTTCTCATCACCGTCAGCAATACCATGCAGAAAGGTGATCCTCACTGTCTGAGAAAGTCAGTTGTTCCCCTACTACTTTTTGCTGTGTATCCATGTTACCCCCACACAGAAGTAAGGCTTGTCAGAGCTACTGATTACAAAATTGTCTACGACTCAGCCCATCAGCTGAGTGATACTTAAAATGTTAACTTGCTTTGTTTTTTTTTTTTGTTTGTTTGGTTTTGGTTTTGGTTCTGGTTTTTTTGTGGTGCTAGGGATCAAACCCATAGCCTTGTACAAATGTCACCTTTTTTAGGGCAAGGACATAGTGGTTCATTTTCAGTACAGACCCAGGTCCTTGGTATTCTTTTTTTTTGTCAGTATTGGGATTTGAACTTGAGCCACCCCCCTAACTCTAATTGGACTTTTTTTGTTTGGTTGGATGGGGTTTTTTGGGGGGGGGAGAGGGTTGGTTTTTTGGTAGTACTGGGGTTTGAACTCAGTGCTCTACCACTTGAGCCATAACCCCAGTATATTTGGTGTTCTTAATAAGCCACAGGTTACTAAAACTAAGTATAAATGGATTAATCATAATCTCACCTTTGCTTCTTCCCTTTTCCTTCTGTCCCAATGGCATTCTTCAGTTTAACAGACGTCATCATTGTCGCCGCTGTGGCAGGCTAGTGTGTGGTTCTTGCTCCACTAAGAAAATGTTGGTAGAAGGCTGCAGAGAGAGCCCTACTCGCGTGTGTGACCAATGCTATAGCTATTGCAACAAAGAGTGAGTGTCCTACAATGGAGCTGATACTGTTACTGACCTCTGGGTCTTCCTTCAAGTCTTCACTCTTCTGGGAGTCTCATTGTGGAAAGCATTTCAGATCTGGAGCACCTAAAAATGTTTAACATTCATTCCTCATTTAACTGTGCAGTTAAATGTTTGTAGACATTTAACCACCCAGCCAAACAAAAAAAGGCCAATTAGAGTTAGGGAGATGGCTCAAGTTCAAACGCCAGTACTGACAAGAAAAGAATACCAAGTGCTTGGATCTGTATTGTAGTTCAGAAAAACTACTCAGAGAGGAAGTAGAGATGAGAGGAATTAGCGTTCAAGGTTCTTACATACTGGTCTGTCTAAAATCAGGACACTTGGATCTTCAACCTTTCCCCAGCCTGAGGCCATGATCTTCTTCACCACCTCAACTATTTCCTGCCCACTCTTGCTTCATTTGTTCTCCCCTGGACTCAGAGGAATATGTCCACACCTGCTGAATGTTTGGGCACCACTTGCATCAACTGTAAACTAGATAGTCATCCTGGCTTGTTACCACAATTAGACAAGCCCTTACACTTTCTGCACATAGTTCATTTGCACAGAAATCTCAGGAACTGATTTTACCTCCAGCAAGACAGATAAAAACCATGTTTGCTGGCTCAGTGTTGCTCAGTTTTTTTCCACTACTGCTAGTAGCCAAAGAGCATGAAAACTAAGAATCCTAGAGCACCTGGTAGAATGGGCCAAAACAACCATCCAAAAGCAAAAATATTTGAATTCTCCATATTTTATTTTACTTCACTAACTAGATTTTATATTCTGCTCATAGTTTTTCTGTGTTTATTTCAGTATGAACCTTTTTGGTCATTATTTGCCATGGTGTTGATTGCATGATAGCACCATGCTTAATTTGTCTACATTTTTTGTGACCCAGGCATGTGTCTTCCTCCATTGGGTGCAGGACGGGAATCACACATACACTATAATGCTAAGATCTGAAATCAGCAATTAGCATTGATGGAGATTCTTTTACCAACAGTCACTCAGCAATAATTACTGTGCCCTGAAGGATCCCCAGTTGGGGAGATGGCCAACAAACAGACCACAAGGAGATTGGATAAGTGTGGTAGTGGCAGCACACACAGCTTAGCCTCGATGGTGGGGACATGGGGTTATCTTAGAGGTGACCCTAGAGGATGAGCCTCAGAGAATGAGGAGTTAGTAGATAAGAAAGCCACCAAAAAAAAAAACAAAAAAAACACATGCCCAGAGGTTGGAGTAACTGCAAATGTAGTGGGAAGAAAAAATGCAGATCATTTGAGGAACTGTAAATAAGTAAGTGATGGGCTAGGGTTCTAGCCAGTGGATCCAGACTTAACAACTGGTAGCTGAATCAAGAGGACTTAGGTAATGGTGCAAAGGCTTGGGACTTGCCCTCTGTTGTCATGGACTGGTATTGACCAGCACGCTCCACATCAGGAGATAGATGTGGACTCTGACTTGTGGCATTGGGCCTTAGCACTTGTTGGCTCTAGTAGAGATTGGCCAAGGCTTATAGCAGAGCAGAGAGGACTTTTATAGCTTTTGCATGGGTCATGGTCAAAGCCCTTATAAAGGGCTTTGTCTGCTGAACTATGGATGTAGAATCTTTTTAATCTGAGTATTTTCTGCAGGATTTTAAGCAAGAACAAAATGTGACTAGATACACATTTTTGAAAACTGCGAAGTAGAGAATAGGTGGACAAAAGCAAGGAGACCAATGGGAAAGTTACTACACACTTCAGTGATAAATGATAAGGGCTCTCACTGAGGCAGGGATGAGGAGAAATGGAGACATTTAAAAGGATGTTTAAATGGGCACATTTCAAAGGAGGTAGAATGGACAAGACATGGTGAGAGATTGGCTGTGACAGCTGAGAGAGAGAAAAGAGTTGTAAATGATTCCCTGATGTCTTACCGAGTAATAGAAATGTCAGTGCTATACACTAAACTCAAAACAGAGAGAAGAAATGACTCAGGCATTTTCATTTTTCTTTCATTTTCAGTGCACCAGAGGAGAATCCAGGCCAATCAGAAGGTAAGGCCTAATCGCATTCTGTAACTCTTGGTTTATGTGCTCAAGTTAGCTATCATCAGTATTATCAGCTATAACTGATACACTCCATGGTAACTCAATTCAACTTGTTTGAAAATTCTTGAATTTTCTATCAACCTGTTTTCCTTGGAGTTCATCATATTAACCTATCACATCAGCCCATTAGCTTCCAGCATTGAGAAGGCTAGCAATCAATGAATTTGATCCTTACCTTTTAATAGGTTATTTCTTACTCACCTACCCTCCACCTCAGGCTCCCTCCTTCCCCTCAGGTAGTCACTGGTATTAGTTTGGCCAATGTCCTTCCACAGCAGGTTAGTTTTTAGAGTATCCAATGGCTCAGCCATCCTTTTAAGAAGCATGCAACTCTCAGGGTTTCTTGTGTGAAACAGCAGAATTGTGTGACAAATACTGACATTCATCCCAGGTCTATGCCTAGGGAAGAAAGTTTGCAGTGCCTAATGGGATCTCCTAAAGGAAACTAAACCCATAAGAGAGAAAGGCGCCCTCAGATAGCAGGTAATATCTGCCTTAACTCACAACAGCTTGCTGAACTGGACTAGACTGACACTTGAATGACACATCTTTTCTCAGCACCAGACAGCTCTAAGAGTGAAAGCCCTCCATATTTGGCTGTGGTGAGAGTTCCCAAAGCAGTTGAGGTGGAATGGATTTTGAGTCTGAACGAGGATGAAAATGAGCTGGTACGGAGTGAATTCTACTATGAGCAGGTAATAGCCATAAAATGTAATGGTCACTTAAGTTTCTTCATAATGTGTGTATGTATGATAAGAAATACTGAAGTAGGTGAACACACCCTAGCCTTTGCTTTCCTACTGTGTAATAATATGGGAACTAAGAAAAGTAAACCAATTAAGGCAGAAGATTTAGAAGCATTTTGGGAAATTCACAAAGAGAGACTAAGAAAGGCTTTGTGGCAGAGTTGGCATGTTAAATGAGCCTTGGAAGAGGGGTAGGAATGTGATAAGCAAAAATTTTGGGAGTTGTAGGAGTAAAAACAGGGGAAGGACAGAGCACAAAACTAAATGAGCAAAGCACAATGTCAAAAATCATCAGGGAATTAGAAGTTAATGTGGAGGGAACATAGAGCTTTGGTAGACAGAGAGTGAAAGGCAGAGTTGAGAAGGGCTATTTACATATAGAGCCATGAATTTTGCAGTAAGGAATAGCTACTTGTTGGTGTCAGGGACCTAGGAAAGTTTTCAGGTATGCTTTAGGAATATTAATGTAGCAGTAGTACGTCCAAGACTTAAAGCACAGACTCCCAGGTGATCAGACTGTGTAGTCCTAGCTAATGATAAAGAAAACTTTGCATTAATGGGACAGTAGACCAGAAAAAGGAAGGGACCTTCTGGTCTTAGACATTTTCAAGAAGTAGGTAACACATGGACACAAAGCATAGCAGCCAGACCTCTGGCAGTGCTACTTTGAACATCTGAATTTCATTTAATTCCACTTCTATTTTGCTGTGGAATTTTGGCTCCTTCCTCCAGTGTTTTTCAACCTTTCGAAGTGGGAAGCATAACTTCCACCATATAGCTGCGTTTGAAGAATGGTTTAGTCCCTGAATTCTCTCTTCTTCCACCCTGGCCAGGCCCCCAGTGCCTCCTTGTGCATTGCCATCCTTAATCTGCACCGGGACAGCATCATCTGTGGTCACCAGCTGATCGAGCACTGCTGTAGGCTGTCCAGGGGCCTCACCAACCCAGAGGTAGATGCCGGGCTGCTCACAGACATCATGAAGCAGCTGCTCTTCAGTGCCAAAATGATGTTTGTCAAGGCTGGCCAAAGCCAAGACTTGGCTCTTTGTGACAGGTATATGAAAATGAATCTTCATTCTTTACATGATGGCTGCTTTTATCTGGGATTTTTCATCTCCCTGTCCTCTCTGAGAAAGCATGCCAAAATGTTTGCATCTCACTTTGATGCAAAGACCACAAGTGTTCCTTCCCAACCTATCCTGTGCAACTTCTCTTTCCCAAAGTGTATCATTAAAGCAGTTTCTCTAACTGTACCCTGTCAAATAGAAAGTAATGACTTTGACTGGTTAATTTATAATTAAAATCATTTAGGGAAACACCTTTGGTGTCTATGGAACTTTCTGGATTTTAAAGGAAATGTGTCCTCCCTAAATGGACCCTGATTAGCCTTGTACAGAAACTCCACCTAAATCTTAATGTGACTCCAGAGAGTTCTGGATCTCTGAAAGCATCTTGAGGCAAGCCTGAGGCCCTGAGTTCAATCCCCAGTATTGAAAAAAAAAAAAAAAAAAAAGAATAAAGCATCTTGGGGGGTGATAGATCTGATCACAGTAGGAATTGAGTCATAAAGTGGAATGTCCATAGGAAAGGTATGAGTAGGCCTCCCTCAGATTCCTGCACAACTGGATTCAGCTCCATTCATTAACTTAACAATGAAAATTCCTAATATCCGGGCTGAAGGTATGGCTCAAGCGGTAGAGCGCCTGCTTTGCAAGTATGAAGCCCTGAGTTCAAACCCTAGTCCTACCAAAAAAAAAAAATTCCTAATTCCCTGCCTATCCACCGAGATGCCTGACTCATGTCCTATGGTCCCAGCACCAGTCCTAACCAGATTCAGGACTAGGACGCATAATTGTCTTTGAAGTGTAACTGTTTCCCTCAGACACTTGCTCTGAGTACTTGCCCAACTCCACCAGCTCGATAACCTGGGACAAGTCTACTAACCACTCTGGGCCTCAGTTTCCTCCTCTGTAAAATGCGGCTGATGATAATAATCTCATAGGAGAACAAAACGAGATCATACATGTCAAGGGCTGAGAAGTGAACCTGGTACACAACATGTGCTCCAAAAATGTTTTCTTTTTGTTTTAGAGACAGAGTCTCCCTATGTAGCCCAGGCTCTCCTTGAACTCATGATCCTTCTGCTGGGGTTACACTTATGCACCACCATGCCTAACTAAAAATGTTAGTTATTTTTATTAACAAAAATCAGAAGGTTGAGAAAAGTAGACAGATTGAAACCAGAGTTTTGGACCCAAGGCCCAAATTTCTTAGAATTCCATATGCCAAGTCTTGCCACCCACCCCTAAACACCAAATAAAGAGGAAGTTTGTTACATGGCTTGGGACATGCCATGGGAAGAGGCAGAATAAGCACTCAGCTCATCTTCAGCCATCTTCACAGTGCAGACATGAACTGTAGGTTCAAGTAGACAAAAGAACTGGAGGCAGGGAACAAAGGTGTGCATAGTTAAACAGTCCCAGTCACAGGTGTGTTCTGGTTGACCATTTTCTCATCCTTATTTTGGGAGAGGTTTTGGAGTTATTATCTGGAGCCAGGCAGGTGGTCCATCCAAAGGAGAGTCTACTGTTGGGGGTAGTTTTGGTTCCTTGTCATAAAGATATTATCGATCATTCCTGTCGTTCCAGGAATCCAAGGTGATTGTAAAGTGACTGCAAAGAGAATGGCTTAGAGCAAAGACAAATACAAAATGCAGGACAGATGCCATGCTTTTCTTTCCTGCTATTGGTTAATTCGTGGGCCCAAGAAGGAGTCAGTGCTTTTAATCAAAAGCAGTTTGAATGCCTCTTACAAGATGAGACAAAAGTGGAAGGAAGTAGCTTCCTTATTTCAGTCTTTTATATTAAAAGACAATAGATTCTACATCATTGTTCAGTTTGATAAATAAATACATGTATATTAAATAAAACTTTATCCTTATTTAATTTTATCTTTAGAACTGCCTGCTGTTACATCCATTTTATAGATGTATAAATTGAGGCAGAGAAAAGTTAAGTAGTTGCCACAGGTTGCAGAGCTACTAAGCAACAGGAGCTGGGGCTCAGAGTCTGACTCCAGAGTCTTCACTCAGAGTGTCTATGCTGTAAACCTCTCAGTTCTCTTGATCACATTTCACTTTGAAAATGAAATAGAAAACCTTCAAGCAACAACCATTCTTAGCAAGACTGTACAGTCTCCTTGCTGTGCCCTTTTCCTTCCTGTAGTTACATCAGCAAGGTAGACGTACTGAATATTTTAGTTGCTGCTGCCTATCGCCACGTGCCATCTCTGGATCAGATCTTACAGCCAACTGCAGTAACCAGGCTAAGGAACCAGCTGCTGGAAGCTGAATACTACCAACTGGGTGTTGAGGTGAGGCAAGACAAAGTTTACTTCTACCCCCACAGTAATGAATGGCCTTTGCTTAATGTTATAAACAGGTGCTGTCACCTCTTGGTTGTCCTGACCATGGGAAGGTATCCAGGGCAAGATCAGTTAGTCAGTGTGGGAATAACAGTGAGTGGGGAGGAAGGAAGTAGTTGGCTGCAAGGAGATGGAATAGGTCTTGAGGAAACTCTCAGGCGTGGATGTAGGCATTTGTCACCAAAAGGAGCAATTTTTCCTCCAGGTTTCCACAAAGACTGGGCTTGATTCCACTGGGGCATGGCACGCTTGGGGCATGGCCTGCCTCAAAGCTGGGAACCTCACTGCTGCACGGGAGAAGTTCAGTCGCTGTCTGAAGCCCCCTTTTGACCTCAATCAGCTGAGTCATGGCTCCAGGCTGGTCCAGGATGTGGTTGAGTACTTGGAGTCCACAGCAAGGCCCCTTGTTTCCTTGGTAAGAACAAAGCAGCAGAGTGCCTGGCTCTGGGAGGAGGCTAGGAACAGTAAGGACTAGGGAAAAAGATCAGCTTAAATTCAGCTCACAATGCCAGTCCTGAGGCCGCCAGTTTGATACTTTGATTTTTCTCCATAGCATATAGTTAAATAAGTAGCTGTAAATGGTTAGATAAGTGATAAAGTCCAATTTTTTAAAGGAAACTACAGAAAACTTTTTAAAAAATGAAAATCACATATAATCCCATACCCAAACTAATTAGTATTCATACATTTTTTTGGAGACATGGTCTCACTATGTAGCCTAGGTTGGTCTTGAACACAAGATCCTCCTATCTCAGTTTCCCAAGTGCTAGGGTTATATGCATGTATCACCATGCTCTGCTAAGTGTTAAGATTTTGATAAGAGCCGGGCATAGGGATACATAGCTATAAGGACAGCTACTTGGAGGCTATGACAGGAGAATCTCTTGAACACATTAGTTCAAGACCAGCGTGGGCAACACTGTGAGACTCTCTCAAAGAAACAATTGGGTAAGTGTTCTGGGTTATGTTTTTTAATGAAATCCGAGTTGTACCATAATATAAAACACAAAATTTTGTATTCTCCCTGTTTTTCTACTCTTAAAATTGGAGTTTGAGCATTTTTTTCCACTTTGTTAAATATCCTTTGAAAGCACTATTTCCAATGGCTGAAACTTACTGGATTTCATTTTTCTCTTGCACTATCTCCATTCCTGTCAGCAAGATGATGATTACTTTGCCACCTTGAGAGAACTGGAAGCAACCCTTCGAACCCAGAGCCTTTCCCTAGAAGTGATTCCTGAAGGGAAGACCATGAACAACACCTACTACCAAGAATGCCTCTTTTACCTGCATAACTATAGCACTAACCTGGCCATCATCAGCTTCTACATGAGGCACAGCTGCCTGCGTGAAGCCCTGCTGCACCTCCTCAATAAGGTGAGACATATGGCATAGCCTGCAAAGGGCAAGGGCCACCTCTCCTCCCTCACTTGGTCCCAAGCTATGAGATCATTTCTGCCAGAATCAGGTCAAAGTGGAAGACTTTCTGCACAATCATTGTCCAGTGAGTGTGCGACAAGTCTTAACTCAGATCCCAAATCACCCTCCTGACTAGCAATGGCAAATTTCATCCCTTCTCCCAGAACATACAAGATGAGATGTTTAATATGAGTCTGTGTGGCCTTATCTGCCTCCCACCTCACCTGGGAAGGTGTCCACTCAGAGTTGTTACCGCAAGGGCTATGGCTTAGGTCCTGTGCACATGATGAAAGGGAGCATGTTCTCCTTGTTTTGTTCTCATTTCCCCTGCCCGCCTCCCAGTGGAGGCCAGGGCACCACCGATAAGCAATCAAGACTCCATTTCACCATGGCGCCTGGAATTCCTTTTTTATCTGAACATTCCATAATTACCTTCTGAGAAATTAACCGTTATTTACCAAATTTCATAGAAAACTAAAGTTCAAAGTAAGTGTTTGTTAGGAAAAACACTGCTCACAAAGAAAGCTCACAAGAAAAGTCTCAAGTCCAAGAGCAAAGTTTAATAGCAGGCTCGAACTCCCAGGCTGGCCGGGGAAAGATGGCGCAGCCAGACCCTGGCAAGGTGTGGCTTTTATAGAAGGGGGAGGTTAGGAAGTTAGCGCATGCGTAGTAGTCTCTGGTAGGGTGGGGCTGTCCTTGGGAGTTTCTCAAGTGAGATCTGAGGATAAAATGGCCACCGATTTACATATGGCGACATTATTGTTCTGTCAGTGTTAATATCATTTGCTACCCTAAATCAACACAGCAGCCAATGAAAGTTTGCACATAGAAATATCTTCTAGAATGACTCTTAAGGGAAATCAACAGTTCACAGCATTGTGGTAATCAGACCCCTCAGGACAGTGAAAGGAAAATGGTTTCACCACAACTTGACTACTACTGTGTCTTAGCTATTAACCAGATCTCAAGAACCACATAGAAGTCATATTATTTGGAATTTAATTGCTAATCTTTTCTATTTTCTTCCATCTCCAAATGAGTTTAGAAGGAAAGATGCTTCTTGCAAGCACAAATTGAGAGTTGAAATCGTGCAGCCCTGTTTCCTTGGACAATTGCAGTCCAGAAAATTAAGCTGCTTACCTCATTATCTTGGTAGAAGCTGACGACAGCATTGTCCCTGCTTTATGGTTGTCAGTACTAAGAGGGAAGCCTTCTTTTTATCTCCTATAATCAGTTACTCTTGAACTAAAATATCTTTCCTTTATTCTCAAGTAAGTAGGGTTACAGAAAAATACACAGTGAAAAAGACATCTGAGTGCCTACGTTTGAAAGGTGTTCTGTTTCTAGCCTTTTCTCTTTCTGATTTGTCTCTTTGCCCACACTGCCTGCAGAATAAGCTTCCCAAAACCTAAGCACACTAATGTTATTCCTCTCCCTAAAAGGCCTCTAGTGAGTCCCCAGGATGAAGTCCAACTTCCTTAGCATGCTGTAGGACCCCCCCCCAGGATCCCAGCACCCATATTTCTCCAATTTACTTTCACTACAAATTCTATCTGTACCCTTCATCGCATACTCATCAAATTACTTAAGTTTTCCCGATTGTACCATGTAGCATCTTATCTTCAAGAGTCTTCATGCTCTGTTTCCTTGATCCAGAATGCCTTGTCTCCTTGTTTTCTTGGAACGCTTCTGTTTATCCTTGCAGAATCTCTTGTTAAGCACTCACAGAATAGCATAAGCAGCACTAGTTAGTCACCTCTCCTACTGCACCACCTTTGTACCTATTACTGCATTTACCCCACTTTGACTTGTTTCAAATGAGTCTTCCCATCTGAACCAAGAAGGCCTATACTTTATCTATATATTCAGGCAGCTGGCCCAGTATCAGTTATGGATGAATGAATGGATGGATAAATGAATAAAATGGATATTTTTAGGTGCTCTTCTGAGGATTTCCACCTTTCCTGCAAAGCTGGTGCCCCTGCTTAAACATTTAATTTAATTAAGGTCTGGGTTTCTTGGTTAGGAACAGCCAGAATCAGGAAAGAAACCTTAACTCTCATCCACTATGATGTCAAAGCCCAGATCCTGTCTATGTTCTAAGCATCTCATCCCAGCATGTTACCCTGCCACACATTTATAGCCATCCTTTACTCTCTCCATTAATCACTCCTAACCTAAAGTCTCCATGTCAAAATGATTTCTCTTTTCTATGACTATGGAAAGGGGGACTTTATGACTCAAGATCTCTGAACCACAGATAGCTTCAGAAGTGAGGAGATTAATGTATATGTTTACTTTCCAGGGGAGTCAGTGTGTAATGTTTATCAGTTCATAAATTCAACAAATATTTATTGAATAGCTAAGGACTGTTCTAGGCACTAGGAACAGAACAGTGAAAAAATAGGCAAAATTACCTATCTGTCTCATAAACCTACTTGGAGGGGTAGGAACATGGCTCAAGTGATAGAGCACCTGCCTACCAAGTGCAAAGCCCTGAGTTCAAGCCCCAGTGCCACTAAAAAAAGAAAAAACCGTACTCGGTAATAGGTAGAGAGACAATAGACACGGTAAATAAAATAGGTAATGTAGATCATGGCAATAAAATAAAAATAAAGGTGCACACCTGTAATACCAGCACTCAGGAGACTAAGGCAGGAGAATCTCAAGTTTGAGGCCAGCTTGAACTAAAAAAAAAAAAAACAACAGGAGGAAGAAGGGGCAAGTCATGCAATTTTAGAAAGGGTCCCCACGGGAGATGTCATCTGAATAAAGAGCTGAAGGATGTGAGGAGTGAGTCATACAGACATTTGGAGGAAGTACAGAACAAGTAGAGGAAGTAACAAATACAAAGGTCAGGGTGGCTGAATCTGGGAGAACTGGGGACAGGGGAGTAACAAATGACAGCAGAAAGAGTAATAAATGATAGCTAAATCATGTTGGCCCTTGTAGACTTTCACAGTGCTAAATGTAGGACCTGGGCTTTGTGATGAATGAGAAGGAAAATCACTGGAAGGTGACAAACAGAAGAGTAATGTCATCTGACATACATTTGAACAGAATCACTCTGGTTCATTTGTTATCATTACACAAAAAAGGCAGAAGTAGAAGATGGTAGACCATAGAGGAGGCTGTTACAATAATCCAAGCAAATGGTGATGATGGCTTAGGTCAGTGTGGCACAGTGGAGGTATAAAGAAATGTCCACTTCTGTGTGTATTTTGATGGTGGAGCTGATAAAACTTGCTGATGAATCTGATGTTGGAGTTTCAGGGAAAAGATGATTTTAAGGTTTTTGATCTGAGCAACTAGAAGAATAGTACTACATCTGAGAAATGGAAGACTGGAAGAAGCAGATTTCAGAGAACAATCAAGAATCAGTTTTTGGTGTGTTAGATACCCAGGAGGACATTTGAGGAGACAATTGGATATCCAGTTGGATATTCAGGTCTGGAATTTAGGATGAAGAAGCTAGAGATAGAAATTTAAGCATGATCAGCACATGGACAGTACTACATGCCATGAGATGGGATAAATCATATAGGGTATGTATAGCATAGAGTATATATAGAAACAGTACATATAAATAGTACATGATATACACTAAACAAATATAAATTATATATGAGAGTTATATATAGAAAAAAGAACAGGTTCCCTCTAAACTCTGGGAAATTGGGAGGAATCAGCAAACAAAATTGAAAAGGAGCAGCCAGAGATATAGAAGAAAAACTAGAGAGCCTGGTGACCAAATAAAGAAAACTTCTCAATTAAAAATAAAAACATTAGAAAAAGAAAATTTTCAGGTGTAAGGAAGCCACTGTATTAAAAGCTACTGATGGGGTTGGAGGTGGAGCTCAGTGGCAGTGCTCACCTTACAATGCAAGAGATCCGGGTTCCATCCCCAGCACTGCAGGGGGATAAAAAGGTGCGCTAGATTAGGTGGAAAAGGAAACCAAAAGTTAACTGTTGGAATTAACAACTTAGAGGTGCCTGGTGACACAAAGTGTGGTTTCAGTGCAAAAGCTAGGTTACAGTGAATTCCAGAGAAAAATCCCAGAAAAGAATGTGGAGGGGGGAGAAATGACCCAAGCCTTGTATGCATATATGAATAACAAAAAAAAAAAAAAGAATGTGGAGATAGTGAGTGTAGATAACTCTATCAAGGTGCTTTTCTATAAATAGAAGGAGAGAAGTGAAACAGTTGCTAGAGTGGGATCCTCAGCAGTATCTCTGACATGGCAAAGCTTCCAAGGCATTGCCTTAAGAGGATGCTGCAGGGACATGAGTGGAAGGAGATTCAGAGTGGATCCCAGACTGCCAGAACCAAACTCCAAACTCCTGACTTCTTGCCTTGTCCTAAACCAGGACAGTCCTCCAGAAGTCTTCATAGAAGGCATTTTTCAGCCAAGCTATAAAAGTGGGAAGTTACACACATTAGAAAACTTGCTGGAATCCATCGATCCAACCTTGGAGAGCTGGGAACATACCTGATTGCTGCCTGCCAGCATCTACAGAAGAAGAACTACTACCACATCCTGTACGAGCTGCAGCAATTTATGAAGGTAATAGCAGTCTCATACCCCTTTCCCCATCACTAATGCCCTTTCATTCAGGGGAGGCATGCAAGATGAGGGAGCGGGATTATCATTTGATTCCTGGCCTTGCTATTTGACCCTAGAGCAAATCCAGCTTGCTCTCTAGCATTGTTACATATTAGGATTTTTTCACCCTAACTTTAGAGGCAACTTTAATCTTGTCCGTAATAGCATTCTTCAGAATTCAAAGACTATAAGATAAAAATGGTACAGGATTCATAGGGAATGGTGGAAGCTCAATATCTTTAGAAAAAAGTGCATGAAGGGACAAGGAACACATTTCTCCTATTCTGTCTGAGGCTTGCCAATGGAGAAATTAAATTATTTCATGCTGGGTGCTGATGGTTCATGCCTGTAATCCTAGCTATTCAGGAGGCAGAGGTCAGTAGGATCACGGTTCAAAACCAACCTGGGCAAATAGTTCATAAGACCCTATCTTGAAAAAACCCTTCACGAAAAAGGGCTGGTGGAGTGGCTCAAGGTATAGGCCCTGAGTTCAAGCTCCAGCACTGTAAATAATAATAATAATAATAATATAATAATCATAATAATTTCATGCCAACTTAATTGTAAAGCCATTGTTAATGGAGAATCAGAAGTATCCCTTTTTTACATCACTTTGGTGGTGGAATAATGTCCAACCCAGGAGCTCAGCTAGTCAGTTCACATTAGAATATCTTGGGCCTGTGAGTTACTGGCACAAAATAGCAATTCAGCTGGTGATGGGAGTGAACACTGATACTTTGCAAGGAAGAAGAGCAGGAGATAAAGATGGGACATCAGCAGGGGCCAGATCACGAAGATCTGCTTCATAAGTAGATCGGAATTCTCATCCCACTCCTCCTTCCAACATCCCTCATCTCTTTTGCCCTGAGTATTCACTTTGCTCTTCTAGGACCAAGTCCGGGCTGCCATGACCTGTATTCGGTTCTTCAGTCACAAAGCAAAGTCATATACGGAGCTAGGAGAGAAGCTCTCTTGGCTACTTAAGGCAAAGGACCACCTGAAGATCTACCTCCAAGAAACATCCCGCAGTTCTGGAAGGAAGAAAACCACCTTCTTCCGAAAGAAGATGACTACGGCTGATGTATCCAGGTAGCGCAAAGCCCAGGGCATAATTAACAAGGGGCAGGAAGGCTGGGACTTTGGTCTTTGATGATGAAGCTGCTCTTGCCCATTCCCTGAGTCCTTAAAAAACACATCTAAAAGGCATTGTCCCTGGACGACAGTGTGCGATACAAGCCTGGGAAGCTATAGAGAAGCTTACACAGGAAGAGAAGAATAGAGGGAGGCTGGGGTCACATGGTATAATCAGCACTTCTTACAGCAGCCAAAGGTCCCATATGATCTGGCTGTGGCCGATGTCTCTGTTTCTGCTCTTCTCTTTTGCCTTGCTAAGCATTGGTCATTGGCCTCCAGGCTTCCTCAACATACCTTTCTTTCTTTCTCTCTGCTTTTATGCTTACTGATCCCTCTGCTCGGAACACAATATCTAAAGTAAATATACTACCTCTACTACTTGTTGCTTCCATGAGTTTAATCACTGAATGTTTCCTGTGTTTGGTTACTCTTCCTTTCTCTTCTAGCCTAGAAATTATGACGGCAGTGCTCATGCCACCTTTGACCTCCATTGTTGTACCTGACACATAGGTGCTCAGCGAATGCTTACTGATCCAGTGACTGCACTTTGTCCAGTTCCATGGTGTACCTTAACTGTTGTGTATCTGTGCAGGGCACTAGGTCACCTGTTTTTGTCTTGTCATAACTGCTCAGAGGGTATTTCAGATATCTTTTCCCTTCACATCAGTTCTTCTTTCGACCACCATCTTCTTATGACTTCCCAGTCACCCAGCCCCAGGCACCTAACCCCAAAGCCTCTCATGAGGCTAGACCTTGCATGTCCTATCCCTATAGGCACATGAATACACTTCAGCTGCAGATGGAAGTGACCAGGTTCTTACATCGGTGTGAAAGTGCTGGGACCTCTCAAATTACCACTTTGCCTCTGCCAACCCTGTTTGGAAATAACCACATGAAAATGGAGGTTGCCTGTAAGGTATGTGCAGACTGCTCTCATCTTTCAGAACTCTTATGACAATTGTAATTGTCTGGTTATTGTTTCAGTTGTTTGTTTGATGGCTGCCTCCCACTGCAGTGTGAGCCACAAACAGCTGGGGATCAAGTCCATTTTGATCACTGTTCCATCCCTAGTGTCTGGCACTTAGTAAAGTCTCAACAGTTCAATTCAGTTCAATAATTGAATAAATGGGGGCCCTCATTCTTGATTAAGGAGCTGTTCTAGTAACTAGCATTTCTTTAAGCGTGTTTCCCTCTCCCTCTCATTTTCAGGTCATGCTAGGAGGGAAGAATGTAGAAGACGGTTTCGGCATTGCATTCCGCGTTCTGCAGGTATGACTAGGATTATTCAAGATTAAGTCCAAGGCAATCAGCACCTGACTACATTTCTGTGTGAGATTATTCTACAGTAAGCTTATCCCAAGAAAAGCAGATCTGTATGTACATTAGAGATAAATCGGGAGGTTGCTGTTATTGAACCAGGTCAAATGCAAGACTCTAGGCCATTCCGCCGATAGCCTAGCAGTCAATCTGAAGCTGTCTCCCTGCAGAAGTCCACTCACCCTCACAGGGGAACGTGGCTGGAGGCAGCACCCTCTAGAGTTAGCCTAGACCATTGAAGGTATTTATCGGGCAGCTTTTAGCAAATGAATGTTTTGGCAGATCAGTCTGCGTCTAAAGAATAAGGCAGCTCTTACCAGAGAACCAAGTGTCCAGGGTGGCAAACACTAGCTTCCCACTCCATTTCCAAGGTAAAGGTGATGAGAGAGAGAGAGAATGAACTGATCTTGGGAGTTAGATTATAGCATTTTCAGAAAATGCTGCCAAAAGTGCTGTTTCAGTTATTAATGTTACAGTTTTTATGGATGCACCCTAAATGTCTGCTTGACTCCAAAGAGGAACTTCCTGCTTGCTTTTGGTTTGATTGTTATATTTTTGTTTTCTGTTCTGACTATAAGCAAATAGCTTATCTACGGCAAGCCTGGTAGGCACTTTTAAAATGTTGTTACCCTTCCCACTGTTAAGGTCCCCTGCTGTGTCCCCTCCTGTCTTAAGTCCATCATCCCATGTCTGTTCCAGGACTTCCAGCTAGATGCTGCTGCAACCTACTGCAGAGCTGCCCGGCAACTGGTAGAAAAGGAGAAATACAGTGAGATCCGACAACTGCTCAAATGTGTCAGTGAGTCAGGCATGGCAGCCAAAAGTGACGGGGACACCATCCTCCTCAACTGCCTAGAAGCCTTCAAGAGAATCCCACCCCAGGTCCACTCACTTTCATATGTCTCCAGTCCTCCATCTGTTTCAGTCTTTCCATCACCCTCTTTATTTTTCTGTTCCTTATAATGTGCCTGAAACTCTCAGCAACTTTTATCTTTCCTGACCCCTCTGCAACAGTTATCTCTAATTAACCCTTTTCCCTGTAAAGAAAACTCATACCCAGAAGGTATCTGTCAGCATTCCCTTGGCTAATATTTTGTGCACCTGGAAATGGCTGTGGACTTAGAGTTGAGCAGCTGTCTGTGATTCTAGTGATCACAGTGGGCCAGCAGATGGTCTTAAAGCATTTTGCCTATGAAATTGTGCCTCTGTAACTCCTTCATAGAGTGAATAGACTAAAGGCCAAGGACAGGGAGATGATCCTTCTCCCCAAATCCCCAAGCTTGGTGTTGCCATTAGCTTTCCTCTGTTGCTGTGCTAATAAGAGTTGAGTTTAAAAAGAAGAGTCAAACAGGCTTCCCCACTCTGGAGTCACAGTGGCTGGACTGAGATTGGATTGGGCCCTGGCTCACAGGCGGGGGCTCTTCTCCCGCTCACAACTGCTATGTCTTTGTTCTGCACAGGAGCTGGAAGGCCTGATCCAGGCGATACACAACGATGACAACAAGGTAAGAACTGTTTCCAGCCCCTAGCAGTGCTATGCAGCACCTGGGGTTTGCCTTGTCTCCTTTATCCTTTGCCCCCACAACAATTCCATGCAGTCTTAATCCCAGCTTCTTTGTTATTCAGAAGTGGGACTGGGAGTTGTAGTTTGAAGGAATTAACAGGGAACAGTGAGCCTTTGCCTGCTCAATTCTTTCCCCCAAGGACTTTCTCTTAAGTCTCCATGTTATACTGAGGTCTCAGAGAGCCTTAGGAAATCCATCTTTATGTTGACTGAATGAGGTTCCTATAGTGGACAGGTATTTCTTTTTGCTATATTCAGGAGGGAAAAGGGCACAATAAGGAAAAAAACCTACCCAATCCTTTAGCTAACAATGTCCACTGGTTTTCTCATTCATCAGAATGGGCCTCTCACCTGGCCATTGACCTCTTCCCTGTTTTGGAAATGGGTGAAGCTTTGCCTCACCTTACTGCCCCCGTTTGTGACCACGTGCAGGAAGGCCCCCCAGGCCAGGAGACCCCTAAGAAGGCCAAACCAGACTGGGCTGCCCTGGCCTGGCCATCAACAGAGGAACGTTCTAGCAACTCAGTCCCTCACAATGAAAACTCATGTCAGGCAAACAGCCTCTTACACAACCACAGAGTTGCTCCCTATGCAGTATTGCTAATCCCTGAACAGAATTTGTAGGGCATTTTTCAGTCAGGATGTTAAGGAAAACATGTTAAGCATTTCCTCGTTATTTTCACAACATCCTAAAGAGATCCTTGAAAAGATGAAATTCCAACATTCTGAAATATGGAGAATTGCTTTTCTAGCATCAGAACAAGAACCCAATTGCCAGGAAAGACACTCACATCCACTGAGCCCCAGTAAGCCTTCAGTAAGCCTCCTACTCAGTAAGACAGTGGTGTTGTCCCTGAGAAAAATGTGCACTACAATCTAGACAGTTGTGATTACTTTTTCAAGTTTTTTTTTTCATCTTAGCAATCGTTTTGATACATTTAAGTGATCTCAGGCCACAAGTCTTGCCAAAAACCACCTGATCCAGTTCTTATTCCAGGCTCTCTGGCAAAATGTCCTTTTCTTGGTAGGAATTTTGCCTGCCCACTTGTGATATTTCACATATGTAGACTTGACTGGAACTGGGAAGCGTGGGTGAGAGCTTACCCCCAAGGACAGCACCTACTTACCCAAACAACAGGAGCTGAGCACTTTAGTGAGCTCAGGACATGCCAGATATCTTCCAGTGGTAGATGACTATCCATAATTGAACTGAGGAAGGACAAATGACAAAGACAAAACAAGGTGAAGTATTATAGATGGAGCAAGAAGAGTCACTTTTACCTCCATACTATTGCAGCAGAAAGGAAGCTGCCTGTTGGAGCTCTGTGGCAGATCCTGGGGTCCTTACTGCTCCCCTGCCCAGAGCCCTGGCTAACTAGAGAGGTGTTGGTGAGACTTGGGCCAGGGAGAGAAAGAGCTCTGGCCTCTACCAACCTGGAGATTCATGAGATGGAGAGTGAGGGGCATACACACACACCAAAATTGAGCTGCCTTGGATCCAAACAAGAATATTCAAGTCAGGCTGGGTGCTATGGTGTCTGCCTATAATTCCAGCATTTGGGAGGCTGGAGCAGGAGGATCATAAGTTCAAGGCCAGCCTGGCTGCATGGTGAAACTCTGTGTCAAAAAAAAAAAAATTTAATAAAACAAAGAAGAGTAGTCACACCAGGTCTAACTAAGGTTAGATCTTTCTTGAGGGAGTTCGATGGGGGAGATCATTTTTATTTTGTTGTTGTTAGAGAGAGGGTCTCACTGTGTAGCCCTGGTTGGCCTTGAGCTCATGATCCTCCTGCTTTAGCCTCCCAAGTGCTAGGATTACAGATGTGCATCCCCACACTCAGCTGGGGTTAGACCTTAATTAGAGCTTTTCCCATTGTGTATATCCATTTTTGTCCCCAAATGCCCTGTTAAAGGATTTTAAAATCAGCAGGTTAAAAACAGAAAAATAGAGATGGGGAATCTAAGAATCCATTGTAGGGACAAGGTATGGTGGTTGCTCATCTGTTCACATATCCATTCATGTACTGCATATTTATTGAATACTTGACTACATGGTAGGCCCAGGGACCTTATGAACCCTCAGGAACTTATAATCTAGTAAGAGAGACAGACCCATCAAATAATCAGTAAGTAACTATAAAATCACAACCTGTGGGTGCTGACAGTGATGGCTCTGATACCAGGAAGAAGCTGGACAGCCTGAGAGGGGTAGTAAGAGGTCAACTCTACCTGCCTAGCTTTGTTTTTATTCTTAGCATACCTATAATACCTTTTATGCTATAAAATAACACCATGTAATAGCTTAATGTCCAGAATATTTAAAGAGTTGTTACAATCCAGTGAAAGGCAATATCCTGGCTATTAAGTTGATAAAAGTGCCATCTCTTTGCCTTCGTCCTTTGATGCAGCGCTGCATGTTTGTTAGTTGTCCATCAGTGATTGGTTCCTTCCCACTGTCTCTTGCCAGGTTCAGGCCTACCTGACATGTTGCAAATTACGTTCTGCCTACCTGATTGCTGTGAAGCAAGAACACTCACGGGCCACTGCCCTTGTCCAGCAGGTACAGCAGGCTGCCAAGAGCAGCGGGGATGCAGTAGTGCAAGACATCTGTGCCCAGTGGCTTCTGACAAGCCACCTTCGTGGTGCCCATGGCTCAGGCTCCAGGAAGTGACCCTGAACAGCAGGGCCAGGATTGTACAGCCTGAGAACTATGGTGACAGGAATGATGCCCTACACCTCTTTCCTTCTGTAGAGAAGGACTTCTCTGGCTCTGTCCCAGATTGGAAAGAGCTGGATTGGCCCCTACTTGCCTGCTTGGGCAAGAACAGGACCTTTCACACAAGTGCCATGTTTCTGTAAAATTGTGGAATCTGTGTGTGTGTCTGGAGATAGTCAGTTCTTTCTACCTCAGAGCAAGTGAGTGTGTGTGTGCACATTTGTGCACTTGTGTGCATGCTCCTGCACAGTCATGTTTATGCCTAAGCATTTTTGGAACAAATGAGACTCTTCTCCACTGAAAAGAGGCACTTTACTTTCGACTTCTGCCAATCTGAAAACCTTCCCCGCATTTTGGTTCTGAAGCCAGGTCATCCTATTGGTACACAGTCCTCTTTAGTGGTGATGTTTAAGTAGCTCTTCTTAACAGGGCTTTACCAGAATTATAGAACAACACCAAAAGGATTGCTTTTCCCTTTCCAAAATTCGAGGTGGCTTTGGGGCAAATGCTACCTGTGGAATAAAATGACTTTTGGATGACTCCTCTTTCAAACACAAGGAGTTAATAAGGTCTTTGGAAGGTGGCCCAGATACAGGGGTGTTCAGGTGCTGGCATTTGAAAGCTCTGCTGCAGTATGGGCTGGGAGGCTGACAGGGGCAGGAGGGGCCTCAACACATTCATCCAGAGGGGAGGGAAAGGCAGGCCTGCCCAAGCATGGATGCAGGACAAAGGCTCACAAGCATGAGCCAGCTTTTGTGAATATCCCTACTCAAAGTTCATTGGTGAGGGACCATGGCTCCCTCTTTCAGAGTCTGGGGAGGGAAATGGTAGATGGGATCTTAGGACTGAATGGCTAAACTTTACCTATTTGAGTTCTAGTCCTGTTTGTTCCTCTTGAATTGATTAAGAAACCACTTTCCCTACCCTCTTACTTCCCTTCAGTCTCTTCTGGACCACAGGGTGGGTATGCAAACACGTGGGTCATTGATATATCAGTGTGCTTCTTCCCTATCTTAAGAGGGAATCGGGTTCGTTTCAGAGTTAAGCCTGTGGACAGAGTCTGGACAGGAATGAGAAAAAGGGGACAATGAATAGGTCACATACAGTCAGGGATACACCACCAACTGGATGAAGCACTTCTTTAATATATTTGTCTTCCCACCTGACATGTGACAATGTTTGAGGAAGTGTCTGTCATATTCCATGACTTAGATTTGCAAATGAGGGGCCTAAAGAAAAGCTCTGTAGTCCCGAGTCTCCCACCAGCCAGAGTGCAGCCTGTTGATCCCACATTTGATGCTGAGTCAAATAGGAATTAGAAGCTCTAGTCAGTATCTTTGGTGCTTAGAAACCCTGTGGATTTCCCTCTGAACCAAAATTTTAATAGTAAAACAAGCAGCTGTTTGTGGACATCTGTCAGATTCAAAGTTTTGGTCCTAGTGGGGAAGGAAAAGGCTGTAAGGAAAATACTGGATCCCAGTAGGGTAAAATTTGACAAGTGACTTTTTCTTCCTTGAGTCACAGAATGCACGGATTCCTAGGAAGCATCATTGCCTGGCATCTGCTCACCCTTCCGAATCTGCCCTTTTTGCACTGAACAAAAGCACTTTATACATAGGGGCTGCAGATCTTGCAGTCCTTAGTTTGAGATGTTAAGACCAGATTTTCCTGACTTTTTCCACTAACTAGTTGAACTATCAAATAGGTATTCATTGACCAAACTGACATAAGATGAGGCTAAAAGCCTTTAGCATCACACTATGGCCTCCAGCAAAGCAAAAGTAACACAAAAACAACTGTACATGTTGAGGAGTTAATGTTACTGCTATAAGCAAGTCACAATAAAGTGTCTGTCTGACTATTTTCTTGGCTTCCTGACTTCTTTGTGCTGTCTCGGTGGTACCCCTCCCTTTTTCCTTGTTTTATGTGGAAAGACAAGATGAATGGGAAAGATCAGGCCTTCAAATTTCTCTAAACAATTTCCGTAGTGACTCTGGTTAGGGTTTGCCTCAAGTTTCCTATGTGTTAAAACTATTAGAATACTTCTACCACTGAAAACTATTTTGTTTTAATTTTTTTTTGAAGTATTGATAGTTAAGTTTAATCATGAACATATAGAACATATTAAGTGTTTTCCAATCTTTATAGATGATTAAAAAATGGAGACCCAAGATGGAAAAAACATCCTAAGCAACAGGAAGGAGCAAAGCAGCTTAAGTTTTTCATTCATTGGACTAGCAATTGAGCCAGGCGCGATCGGCTCACACCTGTAATCCTAGCTACTCAGGAGGACTGTGGTTCAAAGCCAGCCCAGGCAAATAGTTTGTGAGACCCTATCTCAAAAAACCCATCACAAAAATAGAGCTGGTGGAGTGGCTTAAGGTGGAGGCCCTGAGTTCAAGCCCTAGTACCGCAATAAATAAAAAAATAGAATAGAATAGCAGTTGAGCTGGTGGAGTGGCACCTGCCTAGCAAGCATGAAGCTATAAGTTCAAACCCCAGTATACCAAAAAAAAAAGCAATTGAGCTTGTTCATAAATTTTTGCCAAAATGTCCTTGAAAGTACCAATTATTTCTTCTGTAGAAGGTATAATTTTGAATATTATCTGTGAAACTTCCAGAAGCATTCTCTGTCAAGTCATCTTGCACACAGCATTTGTGAATACTCTATGAGAATATTCAGAAGATGTTTGGCATGTGACTCATTAGTTCCAGCCCAGTTGAATGCCAAACTGAATGACACGTCTGGCTATTACACTGAAAAAAGATGGATTAAACCTTTACATAAGTACAAAAGAAAAATGAAAAGTCCCTCCCAGCCCAAGCCACCAATATTACTGATTTCTAGAACTACTTTATGCATAAATAACCACTAATGAGTAAGGTATTCTATGGTTATGATAATGTCGTAATAATTTAACCAGTCTCTTTTTTTTTTGGTGGGCCTGGGTTTTGAACTCAGAGCTTTGCTTGCAAAGCAGGCACTCTACCACTTGAGCTACTCCTCCAGTCCATCTTACTCTGGTTATTTTGGACATGGAGTCGCATGAGCTATTTCCAGGACTGGTCTTGAACCATAATCCGCCTGACCTCAGCCTCCCAAGCTGAGCCAGAGGCACACAGCTAACTAGTCTCTATCAATGGGCATTTTAAGTTATTGCTGCAGTGAATTCTCCAGAATGCTGGGTCGGAGGATTATTTATACCTTCCAAAAAAGTCACAGCAATTACCATCACCAGTGTACAGAATGCTGTTTCCCCATACTCTTACCCTAGTACTTAGCAAACTTTATAGATCTTTGCCAGTCTGGTAGGAAAGAAATGGTACTCTGAAACTTTTTTACAGCTATTTGTACTTTTTTAAATGCTATATGTGATCCCCAGCATCACCAAAAAAAAAAAGTGAATAAGCTCTGTATGTATTTTTAATATGAATCAAATAGTGAATTTTTGAAAGAAGTTGTAGGATCTTTGAGGAAAACAGAACTCAAGCTGAGCTTAAAACTGTTTGCTTGCCACCCTCTCAGGGCACATACCTGCAGTATCATACTTGAGCTGTGAGCAATAGCATCATTGCATTGTCTCTTTTCCTCAGAAACATAATCTCCAATTTCTCATTTAAAAAAAAACACTGTAACAACAAACAATGTTGATGAAAATAGGACTGAAAACCATCTGATAGGGACATGGCACAAAGATATGTCACAACAGAGAGAATTGGAACACTGGACCTAAATGTAGGATAGCTGAGCACTATGTTTAGAAGCCTGAGATGCACAGTTACCAGATGTCTTTGCTGGAGCTTAAGCAAAGTAGATCAAAGGCTATAAGATTCTTTTAATACCCAGGCAACTAAATGTCAATAGTCAGAATAACCCTCAAGAAATGGCCTCCTCTTGGTCTTCATCCCCATTTACACTGTGAAAATGTTGAAACTGCCTGTTCTTCTACAAGAAGTTCAACATCTGGTTACTGAATGGTTTCTTTTGTGACATGCTCTCCTCCCTAGTTCTTCATATTGTTTCTGCTTGGAACCCTTCCTTCACCACCCCACCACCCCACTCTTCAGACTACCGTTGTCAAAGCTCTTCCTCCAAGCCCATTCTGAGCACCATTTCTATGACTTGCTTCTCTGGCTATATTCTCTAGGCACCCCTCTCCAAGGTTCTAGCCATTCCCTCTGAGCACACTAGATTCCCCAATACCATAGTTTCAGCAGTCATTTTCACTGGCTTGGTACTAAGCCAAGTTTATCGCCCTCCACTCATGACTTCAAAATGTCTGTGGCAGACTTCAGATGTCACATTCAGCATGATAGTATCCCACAGCAGACAAATTTTCTGTCTGTGCCTCACTTTTTTTTTTTTTTATGGGACTGAGTTTTGAACTCAGCTTCTCACTCACAAAGCAGTACTCTGCTGCTTGAGCCACAACCTTCACACCTTGAGCCCTGGCACCTGGATAGTTTATCAATTTTTAAAAAGCATAATATTTTACATCTTACTTGGAAATTAAAAATTAGTAATCTCAGCACTGTCAGTTGCCACCCAATAGCCATTTCCTACTCTCTTCCTTTTGCGACTTTGATTTATCTACTAATTCTTAACCCTGCCTATATTTTAAAATACATTTCCACAAAAATTCATATTTAATTGGTCTAGGAAAGTGTTTTTGAAAGTTCCCGAGGTGGTTCTGATTTGCTGCTGTAAACCACTGGTCCAAGACAACTGTAGTGATCACATTTCCCTTGCGAGAGGCTGCTTATAGAAGAGACAGGTGACTCAGTCATGGTCAGTAGGATGTGGGAGAGTTGCTGGTAGCATCTAGAAAAGGTTTCCTCTTTGATTAAGAAGTGAGGCACACAAAAAATAATAAAGTACCTTGGAATAAATTTAACAAAGGAAACCAAATACCTTTTCAATGAAAACTATAAACCACTGAAGAGAGAAATCAAAGAAGACATCGGAAGATGGAAAGATCTCATATGCTCATGGATTGTTAGACTCACCATAGTAAAAATGGCCATACTACCAAAAGCAATCTACATGTTCAATGCAATCCCTATCAAAATTCCAATGACATTGTTCACAAAATAGAAAAATCAATCCTAAAATACATGTGGAAACACAAAAAGACCTCAAATAGCCAAAGCAACTCTGAGCAAAAAGCCCAATGCTAGAGGTATCACAATACCTGACTTCAAACTACACTATAGAGCCATAACAATAAAAACAACATGGTATTGACACAAAAACAAGAAGACCAATGGACAATAGAAGATCCAGACATAAACCTAACAGCTACAGCCAACTGATCTTCAACAAAGGGGCCCAAAATACATGATGGAGAAAAGACAGCATCTTTCAA